GCGGCCAGCGCAGGGGTGGGGGTGACAGGCTGGGGCCTGGCACTCACCCCCGCCGCTGACCACATACGTCTGGAATGTGCAGATGTTTCCTTGGGGGCTCCGGCTGGCCCCCAGACCCCGCCCAGCATCTGGACTGGGGAGCGGGCACACAAGCCACTCCTCTTCTTGGCAGAGGAGGAAACTGAGGCCGGTCAGGGCTGCAGGGCAGAGTCCCAGTTTCCCTAGGGCCTCCAGTTCCTCAGCTCTAGAAGGGTAGGGTGCTCTTGGAGCTGCACTGGGCTCACGGACGCTCCAGACCTGCCGTTAATGACCACTTTCCTGCACCCTGACCCCCTCCCCTCCCCTGGGTACAGCCCCTCCTCAGCCCTCCCCGCTGGGGCCCAGTTGTGAGCAGGGGCAGGACGCAGGTACTGAGCCTTCTGTGGAGAGGGCAGGGGGGAGCCACCGTGGCTCGTCGGATGGGGGTCCTTGAGCACCTTCCGGGCACCTCCAGTTTGTGGTGGAAGCAGGGTTCCCCCCACCAGGCTTCTGCTTGGAGCAGGAAGGAGCAGACCCGGACAGACGGGGACCCCAAGGGTGCACACACAGGGAGGCTGGTGCCCCGTCTCAGGAGGACGCCTGGTGTGGAGGGCGGGGGGAGTCAGGACCTCCCCGGCACGGGGACAGCCTGGGCTCCCCAGTGACTGCTGGGTCACTGCAGTGGGGGCGGAGAAGGACGGCCAGCCTCTCAACCTGATCCCTGGTGCGTGGGGAGGGGACACGTGTCTTGTGCTGTCGTGGGTGTGTGCCCGTGCCCTGGTGGTGTGTGGGTCCTCAGATCACCCACCTCCTCCCTAAGCTGGCCTGACCCCTCCAGTCTTGGCCTTGGGATCCTTGGAGGTTGCTTGTGTGGGCCTCGGGGGCACTGGAGAGCGTCTAGCTGGCCAGAGGGTGGACCCTGCTTGGCCCAGGACCTCTGAGGGGTGCAGTCCAGCCAGGCTGCTGGCCCTCCTCCCGGTAGGGGCCGGCCACTCACTGCTGGGCCAGCCCCTGCTGCTGTGGCCCTGCCCGGCTCTTCGGCAGCTCCCTGGGCCTGCTGTGTCTCTCCCCGGTGGTTGCAGGACGTGAGGAACCCCAGTATGGAGGCAGGGTGTCAGACTGTGATGATGTCACCTGGGGGTTGCAGAGGAAGCCTGGGTGGGTGGGGGCGGGGAGGCTGGCCCCGGGGCCTCCTTGGCATTCCCCCCCCCGAACACTGGCGGCCAGAACAAATGTGGACAAGTGGCTATTGAGGACCTTGGGGCTGTGGGACCGTGCTGTCCATGTCCCCCTTCTGGTGACCCCCAGAGCTCCCCCTCCATGTCCCCTCTGCCTCCGCGTCTCTCCCAGTGGACACCGTTGCCCGTGGCCTGCCCCACGCAGATGCTCTCACAGCCTCGGGGGGGCTGCGGGGCTAGGGCTCGGCCTGGTTCTGCCCTTGGGGCCTGGGACCTTGGCCGAGCAGGATCCCTGAGAGCCTGCTGATATTTTCTGGGCCCCTTGGGCCAGCAGGTGAGCATCGGGGGGGTGGGAGGAGAAAAGTGCAGGGAGCACGTGGCCAGCGCCCGTGACTGTGTGACCGTGATGGTGGGGCCTTCCGCGTGCGGGGGCTGCTGAGCCAGGCAGAGCTGGCTGGAGGACCTCATGCGCCGGGGACGGCCGGGAGCCACAGCCAGGAGGCCAGGGACAGCGATGTCCTGACACGCGGGGGTGGGTGCTGGCTGAGTGGCCGGCCCCTCCCACCCACTGCCCTGCTTTCTCAGGCACCGCGGGCGGTTCCCAGCAGCTGCCACTCGTGATGGATTTTCCAGAAAACGGGATGTGGAAAAACATTTTAGGGATTTTCCTTCTTTCTTTCCTCTTCTGCTTGAGGCCCCAGCTGGGAAGCTCTCCCGGGAACCTCCAATGGATCTCAGGCCCGTGCTCACCCTCAGGCCTGCATCCTCTGCCTCTGGCGTCTGGTTCTTCCTCAGTTCAGCCATCAGAAGGTCTGCAAAGGCCTTGCTGAAAGGTCGCATGGCACAGCCATTGTCACTCAAGAGCATCATGGTTGGCCAGTTGGGTGGGAGTCCGGCCGCCCCTCCCTGGCCCCCCGGCCTGGCCTGCCCACCCAGCGCTGGGAGAGGGGTCGGGCCGGCGGGGGGGAGCCTGTCGAGCGCAGAGTGGCCATTGTACCCTAGAAAGCCTGGCCCGTCACCACCCCGTCCCCGGCGACGTGTGGGAAGGGACAGGGGAATCCGGGCTCCATGGTGAGGGGCACAGGTGACCCTGCCAGGGGGCCCTGGCCCCACGTCCCCTGGCCCCCGAAGGCGTCTCCAGCCCTAGAATTCCTGGAACCCAAGTTCTGGGTGGAGATGGACACGCGTGTTTGCCCCACACAGGCACCCGCCTCCCTGTGTATCTGTCCCCGCCCTCCGCCGGGATGGGAAGCCAGGAGGCCACTGAGACCAGCACCTTGTCCCGGCACCTCGCTGGGATGGGGCAGGGCTCGTGGTCAGGGACCTGCCGCTCCTCGAGGGGAGGCAGCCTCCCCGCCCCACCTCCTGGCCCTCCCCTGCTAGCCCCCTTGCCGCTGTCCCCTGTGAAGCTCCCCCCAGGCCCCCTGGGGCGCCTGTCTGTCGGCCCCTGCATACCTCATTTCTCCTTTTTTGAGGGCAGAACAGGTGTGGAAAACTCAGAGACTCACCTGCTCTCAAGACTGGAGCTGTTAGATGTCCCCCCCCTTTCCGGCACTTTCTTTAGATCTTAGCTGGAAGAGTTATGGGGGGGGCTGCATTTTGCACCTGGACTTCCCCTGCACCTGTGCTGAGGGGCTGCACCCGCTCTGCCCACAGGTGAGGGGAGGAGCTCCGTGGCTCCCCTGTGTGTGGCTCCGCTGGTTTGGGGGTGGGGGCCGCTGGGGGCTGCACCACATGTGCAAGGGCTCCAGCTGGTGCTGCTTTCGAACCTCTGGCCTGGAAGTTGAACTTTGCCAGGTTAGGCGCCCTGCCACCTGTCGGGTGGGGCGTGCTGGTCACAGCGGTGGGGGGCTTCACCCCAGCCCCGCCCCCACCCCTTACCCCTGGGAGCCTGCTCCCCCCTTGGGTGCCCCCAGGCCATGTGTGGAGTGCAGATGGCAGGGCAGCCTGGAGGAGGTGCAGCCCGCAGCCCTTGCTGGTTGCCGTGAGACCCTGTGGGGCCGGCAGGTCTGCAGGGTGAAGCAGGGCTTGGGCTGTGGTGGGTGTCGCCTCCTGAACCTGGTTCCAGACACGGTCTGCGGCATCAGGGGCCAGGCCGGGGCGCTGCTCCGGGCATCCCAGCCGCGAAGCCCCTGTGTCCCGGGGGCCTGTGTGCCCAGAGGCCCAGACCTGGGCTGGCCCTCAGTGCCTCGGCTGCCCCAAGAGGACCTTGTTCTCACACCAGCCCGTTCCGACTCAGGTCCTGCCGTGTCTGCAGCAGGCCCTGTTTCAGAGGGTGACTGTTGGGGCTGGATGCGCGGCAGGCTGCCTCGGGAGGCCAGGCAGGTGCCCAGGAGGGGGTGCTGGGACCAGGCTGTGGTTGGGGCAGCGGGGGAGTCTGAGTGTTGTAGGAGCTGGGTCGGCAGGACCTGGAGGAGACGTCAGCGGACCCCGGGCCTCTGCACCACGGGCGGGTCTCGGGGGCCTGCGGTCAGGCCGCTGAGAGGTGTTGTGGGGACATCGAAAGGCAGGCAGTGTCACCTGCAAGGGCACGGGCTCTGCGGGTGGGAGGCCCAGGCCTCATTGGTGTGGAGGCCACGGCAGGGGGCTACTCCGACGTGTGTGCGAGTCTGGGGGGATGAGAGGCTGAGGTGGAGCGGGTGACCGGAAGTGCCCCCCAAGTCAGGGTGCTCCGCGGGTCTCCATCCCAGGAAGCGGGACGCCCCCAGGAGTCCAGGCGGGGAGGGAGAGTGGAGTCGTGGGCTGCAGGGTGCCTTGCTTGAAGGGCTTCCAACCTCCCGGGCAGTGGGGGAGCATCGCCAGCACCGGGGGTCGTGGTTTGGGAACGTTCATATCTTGGGGGTCAAGTGCTTTCGGGGGTATCCTCGGGTCAGCGTGGCCATGACCGCCCGCTCTCTTCCCTGGGGCCCGGGCCGCGGTGAGTGTGAAGGGGTGCTGCGGTCTCTGGCCCTGCACTGGAATGGCCAGTGCCCTCTGGCCTGCGCTCCGCTGGCGTGGTGACAGCAGGGGTAGACGTCGCATGCTTTTCCGTGGCTTTGATGCCTGTCTCTGCCGGTACGGTGACGCTGCAAGAAGGGCGTCCCGTTCTGCATTCTTTCACTCGATGTGGTTCCAGAATGTTGTCACTCGGGCTTTGGGTTCCTTTCCCACGGCTGGGTTACTCCCCGTCACGTCTGATTTTGAACGTCCTGTGGTTTGTGGAGAACAGGCTCTGACTCCTGGTCCCTGTGTCCTTGTGTGGGTTCTCGCGGGGTCACCGGGTCTTGGGAGGGTCCACTCCGACGCAGCAGCCACGCATCATGTTTCAGCCTGTGTCTGCGATCCCCGACCCCTGTGCTTCCCGGTGGAGCTGTGTGTGACCTTGTTGCCGGGCTGGTGTGTTTCCTGGGGTCATGTTCGCCTCGCTCTTCCCTGTGGCCTGTCTCCGTAGCCGTGACAGGAGGCTGTCCACCACGGCCCCCTCCCCATTTACCTGCCCTCTGTCCTCCACGGTGTCTCGGGGGCATCCTGAGACCCCCCCCCAGGCCAGTGACAGTGGGGCCCCGGGCCTGGAGACCCCTGGGCTGCCCTGGTGTGTTTTGGACCCTGTGTGGGGTGGCACTGCTGGGCCGGGGGTGGGACTTGGGGCAGAAAGGGAATGGCGCAGTGCGTGGATGGAGTCCTGGGGGCCACCTGCCCTGTCCTGTTCCATTCACTTGGAGCCTCCGTCCTGACCCAGCCCCAGAGCAGCCTGTGGGGTGGGCCTCGGTCTGCTCTGTGCCCTGCAGGGCTCTGGCCCTGATCACTGACCACTTTGCTCCCCAGAGACGTCTCCCACAACCTGCTCCGGGCACTGGACGTCGGGCTCCTGGCAAACCTCTCTGCACTGACAGAGCTGTGAGTGGTCCCTCCAGGGGCCGCGGGAGTCTGTGGGGTGGGCCGGTGGCAGCTGCCTGTCCCCATGTGGGTCACTGGGGCTCCCATCAGACCTGCTATATTCCCGCTCTCTTCCAGGGATATCAGTAACAACAAAATTTCAACTCTAGAAGAAGGAATATTTTCTAACTTATTTAACTTAAGTGAAATGTAAGTGATTTTGGTGGGTGTCATTAGCCAAGCCCCCCCACCGTGACCCTCTTTGCCCTCCTGACCTGGCCTCTGTGCCCCTTCCCACTTGACCAGGCCCTGGGGACTGTCTGCTTGCCTACTGGAGCTCTGTCAGGGCCTGGCAGGCTGCCACAGGGGTGGTGGGATGCTGTGCTTGTCCAGGTACCCCCCTCACCATCTGCCGTGCCGTCTGCTGAGCGCCTGGCCTCATGCCTCCCACAGAAACCTAAGCGGAAACCCGTTGGAGTGTGACTGCGGTCTGGCGTGGCTGCCTCGCTGGGCGGAAGAGCAGCAGGTTCGCGTGGTTCGGCCCGAGGCGGCCACGTGTGCTGGGCCCAGCCCCCTAGCTGGCCGGCCCCTCCTCGGGGTCCCCTTGTTGGATGGTGGCTGTGGTGAGTGTGGCTGGAGTGGGGCCAGCTCGGGCCTTCCCTGCTGGGGAGGTCCCCGTAGGTGCTCCAGGGTTACCTGGCTGGTGGGAGGTGGGACCCGGGCAGCAGAGGCGCTTGGACAGTAATCACGGTGCTTGAGACAGGCCGGGTTGGGGTGAGGAAGGCCCTCTGGACCAAGGGGACGGCGCGGGGGGGCGGGAGGTGGGGACAGCAGCCGTTGGGTGGAGGTGATGTGATGGGGACCAGCCTGTCTGCTCCGTCCAGGTGAGGAGTACATTGCCTGCCTCCCTGACAACAGCTCGGGTGCTGTGGCGCTGGTGGCCTTCTCAGCCGCCCACGAGGGCCCACTGACGCCCGAGGCCTGCGGTGCCTTCTGTTTTGCGGCTGGCCATGGCCTTGGGGCCTTCTCAGACCAGGGCTGGTGCCTGTGCGGGGCCGCCCAGCCCCCCAACGCCTCCTCAGCCTGCCTGCCCTTCTGCTCCGGTGCCCCACTGGCCCTTGCCCCTGTGTGTGGGGGCCCCACTCTCCTCCAGAACATCTTCCCCGCCTCCCCAGGGGCCGCCCTGGTGGGGCCTCAGGGACCCCTGGCCTCTGGCCAGCCAGCAGCCTTCCATGTCACTGCCTCCCTGCCCATCAGCTCCACACGCTGGGACTTTGGTGACGGCTCCCCCAAGGTGGACATTGCTGGTCCCACCACCACTCACCGCTACCTGCTGCCCGGGCGCTATCATGTGACTGTTGTGCTGGCCCTGGGGGCTGGCTCAGCCCAGGTAGGGACCCAGGTGCACGTGGAGGCGGCCCCTGCCTCCCTGGAGCTCACGTGCCTCACCTCGGTGCACAGTGATGAGACCCTCAAGTTTGGCGTCCGAAATCGTGGTGGCTCGGACCTGGAAGCCACATACAGCATTGTGGCTGTGGGTGAGGAGCCAGCCCAAGGTGGGTGCCTTCCCCACACCCAAGGGCCGGAGTGGGTGGGACAGTCGCGGTTGGACACACATCGATGCCCTCTTCTGCACCTGCAGACCCCACAGTGGTGCATCCACTCTGCCCCTCGGACACCGTCATCTTCCCTGGTAACGGGCACTGCTACCGTCTGGTGGCAGAGAAGGCTGCCTGGCTGCAGGCACAGGAGCAGTGCCGGGCCTGGGCTGGGGCCGCCCTGGCAATGGTGGACAGTCCCGCCATCCAGCACTTCCTGGTCTCCCAGGTCACCAGGTACCCCCCCACCCCTGGAGAGGCTGGGAGGTGAGGTCCCCAGAATGCCGGGGTAGGGACAGCCTGAGGCCTGAGGAGGCTCAGGAGGAGAGGCGGGGATGGCTGGAGGAGCCGCGTCCAGCTGACGTCCTGCTTGGCGGACACCATTCCTGACAGCTCTTCAGACAGGTGTGGGGGTGAGGGTGGGGGAGCACCACACGTCCTGTCTGCTGCTCACCCCGCTGTCCCCTGCTGAGCGCCTCCTGGCAGGGGTGGGGACAGTGCTGCTGTGACCGTGGAGGCTGCCTGGGCCTCCCTGGACCGGGAGGAAATGTGCTTCCCTGCAGCCTGCACCACCCCTCCCCCACTGCCGTCGGCACCTGCCCAGGCCCATCCCCCCCCCCCCCCCCCCCGACTCCCCATGTGGGCCGACCCGATGGGATCATGCCCTGGGCATCCTCAGTGTCCAGAAGGTGAGACTGAGGCCCAGAATGGTCAAGGCCTCTGCCCAAGGTCACCCGGTTAACTGGCAGTAGCCGGGCCCCCACCCTGTCCCTGACCGTGGCACCTCACTTCTCTCCCAGTGCTCCCCTGTCCAGGTGTTGATAAGCCCTGCCTCCAGAAGGGTCTTCCCGTGTGGGCAGAGCTGTGGGCAGTGGCCTGTTTGGGGGGCTGATGTGCAGGTGTTCTGTTCCCCAAATGCTACACCCAGAGCCGCCTTTTTTTTTTTTGAAGATTTTTATTTATTTTATTTTTTGATTTTTTTGTTTTTGTTTTTTGAAGATTTTTAGTATCCATTTTAGAGGAAGGGAGGAAGAGGAGGGGCAGGGGGAGGGGCAGGGGGAGAGAGGTTTTCCCGCAGAATGCCCCCTCAGCACAGAGCCCAGCATGGGGGCTCAATCTCAGGACCCTGAGATGGTGACCTGAGCTGGAACTGAGTCGGCTGCTCAGCCAGCTGCACCCCGCAGGCGCCCCTGCCCCCCGAGCCTTGTCACAGTACAGTGTGGGCGGGTGGGGCCCCGGACCCGTACGCATGGGTGTGTGTGGACACTGCCGTGGCCTTGCTTGCAGGGTCTCTGAGCCTCGGTTTCCCCATGTGGAGAGTGGGGAGAGGGGCTCCCGTGGGAGGGCTGGGGAGGGTGCTGTCTGCGCGGAGCCCCTGAGTGCCCCCCCCACTGCCTGCCTGCAGGAGCCTGGACGTGTGGATCGGCTTCTCGGCCGTGGAGGGGGCGGAGGCGGGCCCGGCGGTGCAGGGCGCTGCCTTCAGCCTCGAGAGCTGCCAGAACTGGCTCCCCGGGGAGCCGCACCCCGCCACCGCGGAGCGCTGTGTGCGGCTCGGGCCTGCGGGCCAGTGCAACACGGACCTGTGCTCAGCGCCCCATAGCTATGTCTGCGAGCTGCGGCCTGGAGGTGCGCTGGGGCAGCGGCGGTGGGGTCACCTGTCCTGGATGGAAGCCGCCTCCCCAAAGCATGGGCGGGAGCTCCCCGCGGCTGTCCTCCCCCGCCCCCAGGGCCCCTCGACCACGCAGGGTCTCCGGGCTGCCCCTTCTGTCCTGGCCAGATGGTCACCTCCCCCATCCCGGGCTCCTTCCTTAGCTGTTCAGTGGCCGCTGTGTTTGCTGAGCACCTGTTGTGCTGAGCTGAGCCCGCCCCCGATGAGACAGACCAAGCTGGGGGGCCTGGGAGGATCCTGCCAGGTGGCTCCGTCCGGGGTCCGGCCCTGCCTTGGGCCCCACAACGCTCTCCTCCAGGGCCCAGGACCTCATTGCACCCTTGTCATCCCAGGTCCCGTGTGGGACGCGGAGAACTTCCTCGTGGGAGCGCCCAGTGGGGACCTGCAGGGACCCTTGAGCCCCCTGGCACAGCAGGAGGCCCTCTCGGCCCCCCAGGAGCTTGTCGAGGTAGGCTGACCCCGGGCCCTCCAGGACACAGTCTGGAGCCTGAGCCTTAGACTGGCTGCTGTGACTCTTTAAAAACAAGCTCTTTTTCCTGCCTTCCTGATGCCCCGTGTGCCCACTGGAGGTGCTGCAGGGACCCTCGATCACACAGACAGCAGGCCCCACCCCAGTACCTGAGAAAGCTCTGGGTACTCTGGAGCCTTTTCTGGGGTGTTTGTGGGGGTTTTCACAAAACAAGGTGATTCTGCTCACAGATGGTTCCGACCTGATTTTTCATCCTGAGTGTCCTCCACAGTGTCAAGCCCCACCTGGTAGGGTAGACCAGGGTGGGACCGGCGGGGGAGGTCGGGGTCTGTGGAGCTGAGCAGCGCCCCCTGCCCCCCCTCAGGTGATGGTGTTCCCCAGCCTGGGCCTGAGCAGGGAAGCCTTCCTCACCGCGGCTGAGTTTGGCACCCAGGAGCTTCGCCGGCCCGCCCAGCTGCGGCTGCAGGTGTTCCGGCCCGTGGGAGAAGCAGGTGGGACTCTGTCTGGGGGTGGGGAGGTGTCTGTGCTGTCACGTGCACTGGTCCCATGGCTACTGGATTGGCCTCCAGCCATACACAGAGAGACCCACTCAGCCTTGGGATCCCCAGGACTGCGTGTGTCACCTGACCCAGTGTCAGGAGGGGGAGAGGCGTGATGGTGGGGGCCCGGCTGCTGCCTGGCAAGTCCTCGAGTCATGGTGGGGGTGTCTCCAACTTGGGCTCATCAGCATGACCAGCGTACCTCTTCTCCTTGCAGGGGCCCCAGGGAACAGCAGGGAGCCTGAGAGTGGGTCCCAGGAGAGCCGGACCAAGTCAGTCCCTGAGTGCACCCCAGAGGGACGCTGGTGCCCCAGAGCCAGTATCCACCTGCCACCAGATGACCCCTGCGGCCCCTGGGCCTGTGCCAATGGGTCCACGTCTGGGCCAGGACTCCCTGGGGCCTCCTGTGTGCTGCTGAGGGAGTTCCTCTTCTCTGTACCGGCGGGTCCTCCCTCCCAATACTCAGTACGTGTCACTGGCCTGGGTGCCAGCTGCGTCCCCTCTGCTGCCTGAGGTCTGGGTCGCCCCATCAGACACAGACAAACTGCAGACCCTTCCACTGAGCCCTCCCAGCCCCTGCCACGGCCCTGCCCTGGCTTTGTCAGTGTCCCTGGTTAGCACCACAGCCTCAGAAACTGCCACCTCGGCCGTTTGTGCTTATGTTGGGCACAGCACCCACAGAAGCCCTACACCTGCCCAGGAAAGGCCCACCCCTGCCTGCATCCTTGCCTCCCCAAACCCCCCACTCTGAGCCTGTGCCACTGTCCCTTGTGAGCGAGAGTCTGGGCTGGCCCGGGTGGAACCTGCCCACCTGCTGGAGGCCCTGCTTCAGTGCTCCCTTGCAGAGCCCCTGACCCTTGGTGGCCCCCTGGGAGGGCCTGACACGACCTACCTTCCTCTCCTGTAGGTCACCTTCCGTGGCCAGGACGGGCCCCTGAAGCCTGGTGACCTCATCGCCCTGCAGCATGACGCGGGACCAGGTGCCCTTCTGTGCTGCTCTCCAGCGCTTGGCGCCCCTGGCGCTGAGGCCCTCTACTTTTCTGCCACCTCCCCGGCCTGGCTGGTGCACCTCCCTGCTCAGCTGGAGGCAGCCCCGGCCGGTCTGGCCTGTGCCTTGCGGCTGCTCGTGGCCACAGAGCGCCTCACCACCCTGCTGGGCCTGCAGCCCAACCCAGGGCTGCGGCGGCCTGGGCGCTATGAGGTCCGGGCCACCGTGGGCAACAGCGTGTCCACACACAACCTGTCTTGCAGCTTCGACGTGCTCTCCCCCGTGGCTGGGTTGCGTGTCGCCCACCCGATCCCCCACGACGGCCACCTCTACGTGCCCACCAACAGCTCAGTCTTGGTGCTCCAGGTGGACTCTGGCACCAACGCCACCGCCACGGCCCGCTGGCCTGGGGGCAATGCCAGTGCACCCTTCGAAGCCACCTGCCCTGCCACGGTGGCTGCCCTGGTACCCAGCTGCACTCTCGAGGCCAATGACACCCTGTTTGCGGTGCTTGTGCTGCCTGGGCTCAGTGAGGGTGAGCATGCAGTGGAGATCGTGGTGGAGAACAGCGCCGGCCACGCCAGCCTCAGCCTGCGGGTCAAGGCTGAGGAGCCCATCTGTGGCCTTCGTGCCGCCCCCAGCCCCGAAGCCCGTGTGCTGCAGGGCGTCCTGGTGGTAAGTGAGGCCAGACAAGGTGCTCGTGCTGAGGGCAGCCCCTCTCTGGGGAGGACGCAGCTTGGCCTCTGGGGACAGCAGGCTCCACGGTTGGCTTTCCGGCGGGTTCTGTTAGGTGGCCTGTGAGTTCCGGAGTAAGTGAAGAGGCTATGCTAAGACAGCGGCTGTAAAGGTGCTCACTCTGCTGCCGCTGTGCACCAGAAGCCCGTTGCAAGTTTGCGAACCTGCGTGTGTTCTCGAGGCCCCTGCTGTGTTCCCACCAGGCTAGAGGGTCTGGTGCCCTGCTGCTGGCCCTGTGCCAAGCTGTCCCTCCCTGCCGGGCAGCCCTCGGCTCCGTGGCCTTCACAAACGGGCCGTCGGAAGGGCCGTCTCTAGCTGCCCTCCACCCATGCAGCTGTGGTCTTGGCGTACCCCGGCCACACCTGGTCTGTCGGCTCCCTTGGTGAACATCCCTGAGCATGAGGCCCTCTGCGTCTGCCGGGCCTTCCTGGGCAGCCTGTGCTGTCCACAACTCAGGGGCCCAGGGAGAGCCCAGGAATGGGGCGTGTGGACGTTCAGAGATGGAGGGCTCTTTCCGTCGCTGGTACTGGGTCGCTTTCCAGGTCGGGAAAGTGAGGGGCTGAAAGGTCAAAGTGTGTGTCAGTCCCAGCCCAGCCCCACACCACGCGGCCCCTCACCTTCTCCCCTGTGGTGTCTTGAGGTCAGCCCCTGAGGTCCCCCAGGAGGCGTGTCCAGGTGGGGGGGACCTGAGCTGAGGGCGGAGTTGCCCCCAAAGGCCGACGCTATGCCCTTCCCGCAGAGGTACAGCCCCGTGGTGGAGGCCGGCTCCGACGTGGTCTTCCGCTGGACTATTGACGACAAGCAGTCCCTGACCTTCCACAACGTGGTCTTCAACGTCATCTACCAGAGTGCTGCCGTCTTCAAGCTCTCGGTGGGTGGGGGGCGCGGGGGGGGGCAGGGGGCGTGGGGGGGCGGGGGGTGGGTGGTGCTCACCTTTGCCTTCCCTTCTGCTTTGCTCCCGAGGACACCCGGCTGGCTGCGGGTGAGTGCAGGGTGGGGTCTGTCCGCTGCCCCGCGGCCTTCCCGCCGCCCGCCGCAACCCATGCACGGCTACCTGTCTCTACAGCTGACGGCCTCTAACCACGTGAGCAACGTCACCGTGAATTACAACGTCACCGTGGAGCGGATGCACAAGATGAGGGGCCTTCGGGTGTCTGCCGTGCCACCCGTGTTGCCTCCCAACACGACCCTGGAGCTGGCTGCGCACGTGCTGGTGGACTCGGCTGTGGAGGTGGCCTTTCTGTGAGTGCGCGGCCTGGCAGGCAGTGGGGCAGGCCAAGCCGGGCGGGGCTGGTGCCGGGCGGTCCCCCAGCCTCCACGCCCCCACCTGCCGGGAGCTGCCGGTGTGTGGAACCCTGGGAGGGGGCAGGGGCGGGGGTGCGCCCACCCCTGCTCATTGTCCGCCCGCTGCCCTGGCAGGTGGACCTTTGGGGATGGGGATCAGGTGATCGGCCAGTTCAAGCCTCCATACAATGAGTCCTGGGTCCCAGACCCCATGGTGGCCCAGGTGCTGGTGGAGCACAGTGTCACACATGTCTATGCCATCCCAGGTGAGGGCTGGGGCCCACCGACCTCCTGTGGGGACAATCCCCGTCCTCCCTCCATCTGGTCTGGGTTGATGGCCTGGGGCCCTAAACACGGTGAGGGAGGGGGGCCGGGGGTGAGGAGGGGACTGGCTGCTGAGCCCCATGATTCCAGTCTCCTGGCCAGAAACCGGACCACCCCCCCGCTTGGTCCCTACTCAGACCCTTTCTGGGGTGGAAGGGGTTACAAGTTCTAGAGGCCCCACACACAGAATACACAGTAAACCATGGCGCCCCCACCACCTCTGTCTCACACTGGCATCTGCTGTCCTCCCCTCATTCCTGCCAGCGCCTCGCGTCTTGCCCTGTGCTGATGGCACTGTGCCCCCCCTCATTGCAAGGACCCTCAGGGCTGGGTCCAAGAGCATTGTCCCTTCCTGTTTTAACTGGGGCCCCGTGCTGCCCTCCCAAGGGGCAACACCGCACAGCCACATGGGGTTAGGTGGTGACTTTGCCAAGCAGGTGGTGGCAGTGGGCCTGGCCTCGTCCTCACTAGGGTCTGTCCCCTAGGTGAGTACAACCTGACCCTGCTGGTGTCCAACGCCTTTGAGAACCTGACGCAGCAAGTGCCTGTGAGTGTGCGCGCCACCTTACCTGCGGTGGCTGTGGCTGTGGGAAGCCACGTCCTGGTGGCTGGGGAGCCTGTCACCTTCTCCCCACACCCACTGCCTTCACCTGGGGGCATCTTGTACACGTGGGACTTTGGGGACGGCTCCCCAGCTGTGACGCAGCACCAAACAGAGGTCAGCCACACATATGCCTCGAGGGGTATTTACCGCGTCCATCTGGAGGTGAACAACACAGTTAGCGGTGTGACAGCGTGCACCAGCGTCCGTGTCTTTGAGGAGCTCCGGGGCCTGAGTGTGAGCCTGAGCCCATCTGTGGAACAGGGCGCGCCCGTGACGGTCAGTGCCACCCTGGAGTCGGGAGACAACGTCACGTGGACTTTTGACATGGGGGATGGCACTGTGCTTGTGGGCCCCGAGGCCATGGTGGAACACGTTTACCTGCGGGCACAGAACCACACGGTGACCGTGGGCGTGTCCAGCCCTGCGGGCCACCTGGCCCTGAGCCTGCCTGTGCACGTCTTCGTCCTGGAGGTGCTGCGGATTGAGCCTGCGGCCTGCATCCCTGTGCAGCCCCACGCCTGGTTCACGGCCCATGTCACTGGGGACCCTGCCCACTACATCTTTGACTGGACGTTCGGGGATGGCTCATCCAACACGACCATCTTTGGGGACCCAACGGTGACACACAACTTCACACGGAGCGGAACGTTCCCCTTGGCGTTGGTCCTGTCAAGCCATGTGAACAAGGCCCATTACTTCACCAGCATCTGCGTGGAGCCCGAGGTGGGCAACGTCACCCTGTGGCCCGAGAGGCAGTTTGTGCGCCTTGGGGATGAGGCCCATCTGGTGGCTCGCGCCTGGCCCCCCTTCCCCTACCGTTATACCTGGGACTTTGGCCCTGAAGACGCACCCCGTGTCGGGGGCCCCGAAGCCATGTTCACCTATGCGGACCCAGGTTCCTACCTGGTGACGGTCGCCGTCTCCAACAACATCTCAGCCGCCAATGACTCTGCACTCGTGGAAGTGGAGGAGCCCGTGGAGCTCACGGGCATTGGGGTCAACGGCTCTGGTGTGCTCGAGCTGCAGCGGCCCTACCTGTTCTCTGCCCTGGGCCGCGGACACCCCGCCACCTACCTGTGGGAACTGGGGGATGGCAGGCGCCTCGAGGGCCCCTCGGTCACGCACGCCTACAACAGCACGGGCCACTTCACCGTCAGGGTGAGCGCGTGGAATGAGGTGAGCCGCGGTGAGGCCTGGCTGAACATCACGGTGCAGCGGCGCGTGCAGGGGCTCAGCGTCAACGCCAGCCGCACGGTGGTGCCCCTCAATGGCAGCGTGAGCTTCACCACCTCCCTGGAGGCCGGCAGCGACGTGCGCTATTCCTGGGTGCTCTGCGACCGCTGCACGCCCATCCCCGGGGGCCCCACCATCTCCTACACCTTCCGCTCCGTGGGCACCTTCAACATCATTGTGACCGCTGAGAACGAGGTGGGCTCCGCGCAGGACAGCATCTTCATCTACGTCCTGCGGCACATCGAGGGGCTGCAGGTGGCAGGGGGCGGGGGCGGCTGCTGCTTCCCCACCAACCGTACACTGCAGCTGCAGGCCGTGGTCAGCGATGGCACCAACATCTCCTACAGCTGGAGCGCCCAGTGGGATGGCGGCCCGGCCCTGGCCGGCAGCGGCAAAGCCTTCTCGCTCACCGTGCTCGAGGCCGGCACATACCACGTCCGACTGCGGGCTGCCAACATGCTGGGCACGGCCTGGGCCAACCGCACGGTGGACTTTGTGGAGCCCGTGGGCGCACTGGCTGCCGCCGCCTCCCCAAACCCGGCCGCAGTCAATTCCAGCATCACCCTCTGTGCTGAGCTGGCTGGGGGTAGTGGTGTCACTTACACCTGGTCCCCGGAGGGAGGACTGAGCTGGGAGACCCCAGAACCATCGTCCACCCACATCTTCCCCAGCCCCGGCCTGTACCTGGTCAGGGTGACAGCTACGAACTGGCTGGGCTCAGCCAATGTGACCATCGAGGTGGCTGTGCAGGTGCCGGTCAGTGGCCTCAGCATCCGGGCTGGCAACATGGACCGCGGCTTCGTGGCAGCAGGCTCTGTGGTGCCCTTCTGGGGACAGCTGGACTCAGGCACCAACGTGAGCTGGTGCTGGACGGTGCTGGGGGGCAACAGGCGTGGCCAGCACGTTGCTGTGGTCTTCCGTGACGCGGGTGCCTTCTCCGTGCGGCTCAATGCCTCCAATGCAGTCAGCTGGGTCACGGCCACACGTGAGCTCACGGTGGAGGAGCCCATTGCGGGCCTGGTGGTGTGGGCCGACAGCAAGGTGGCGGAGCCGGGGCAGCTGGTCCACTTTCAGGTCATGCTGGCTGCCGGCTCCACCGTGCGCTTCCATCTGCAGGTCAGCGGGGCCGCTGTGGAGGCGCTCCCCGGGCCCCGCTTCTCCCGCAGCTTCCCCCGAGTCGGGGACTACATGGTGAGCATCCAGGCTGAGAACCACGTGAGCCGGGCCCAGGCCCAGGTGCGCATCTTGGTGCTCGAGGCTGTGGGTGGGCTCCAGGTACCCCACTGTTGCGAGCTGGGCATCCCCACGGGCACGGAGAGGAACTTCACAGCCCGGGTGCAGCGTGGGTCGCGCGTGGCCTACGCCTGGTACTTCTCCTTGCAAAAGGTCCAGGGGGACTCACTGGTCATCCTTTCGGGCCGTGATGTCACCTACACCCCTGTGGCCGCGGGGCTGCTGGAAATCCACGTGCGTGCCTTCAACGAGCTGGGCGGCGTGAACCTCACGCTGTTGATGGAGGTCCAGGATGCCATCCAGCATGTGGTGCTGCTCAGTGGCCGCTGCTTTACCAACCGCACAGCCCGGTTTGAGGCCGCCACAAGCCCTAGCCCCCGGCGTGTGGCCTATCGCTGGGACTTCGGGGACGGGGCCGCGGTGGAGGACACGGAGGAGCCCTGGGCTGAACACTCCTATCTGTGGCCGGGTGACTACCGCATAGAGGTGAATGCCTCCAACCTCGTGAGCTTCTTCGTGGCCCAGGCCACGGTCACCGTCCATGTGCTGGCCTGCAGGGAGCCCGAGGTGGACGTGGCCCTGCCCCCACAGGTGTTGATGCGGCGCTCCCAGCGCAACTACCTGGAGGCCCATGTCAACCTGCGCGACTGTGTCACCTACCAGACTGAGTACCGCTGGCAGGTGTACCGTGCTGCCAGCTGCCAGCGGCCTGGGCGCCTGGCCCCTGTGGCCCTGCCCAGTGTGGACATGAGCCGGCCCCAGCTGGTCGTGCCACGGCTGGCACTGCCTGTGGGCCACTACTGCTTTGTGTTCATGGTATCATTTGGGGATACACCGCTGGCACGGAGCATCCAAGCCAATGTGACTGTGGTGCCCGAGCGCCTGGTGCCCATTGTTGAGGGCGGCTCATACCGCGTGTGGTCAGACACTCAGGATCTGGTGCTGGACGGGAGCAAATCCTATGATCCCAACCTAGAGGACGGTGACCAGACACCACTCAGCTTCCATTGGGCCTGTGTGGCCTCAACACAGGTAGGGTGCCCTGCGGGGCATGGATGTGTCCCCACCCCACCCCTCACCCGGCCCTGGCCCCTAGGTCATTTGTGCTGTTGAGCCCAGCATAGGGAGGGGGTCTCCCAGCTGTGCCCTTGCCAGGCTCTGCTTTGAAGCCATCCCGGGTCTCACGCTCCCTCCCCATGTGGCTGCAGAGTGAGACTGGTGGCTGTACCCTGACCTTCGGGCCCCGGGGAAGCAGCGTGGTCATTGTTCCTCGGGAGCGCCTGCAGGCTGGCGTGGAGTACACCTTCAACCTGACTGTGTGGAAGGCTGGCCGGAAGGAGGAGGCCACCAACCAGACGGTGGGTGCTGTTGGCCTGGGCCTGAACCAGCAAGGCCGAGCTCTGGGCCCCCGGGGTGGACAGGGAGGGCTGAGTGTCCAGGGCCGACTGCCCCCAAACACTGCGAGGACTAATGATGTCATGCTTCTGGAAGCTACTGGTTCTCATTAGGAGTTAGTGCTTTTGATAATTTCTCTTTAACAAAGTGTCCTGCTTCAACACGGTTTCCTCCCAAATGGGCCCCAGGGCCCCAAGCGCCGTAGCCACCTGTGAGCGGCTGTTCAGCGCCAAAGGCTGTGAGGAAACAGTCCCCTCCCCAGGGCACGGGTGTCCTCATTTCTGAACAGGAAGGGGCTGTACCCACCTGTACCTGTGCTCACCACTCCCCTCCCCTGGGCCCTCCAGGCGGGTCAGGACCACGGTGTGGCTGATCCCCAGGCAGGTGCGCTGACGGGAGCAGGTGCGCTAGGCTGCGTGGGGGTGCCCTGCGAGGGGCTGTCGGCCCCCAACATCAGGGCTCTTCAGTGGGCCTGCCCAGAGTGGGGTCTGGCCTGGATTGGCTGAGGTGGGCCCCAGCCCCGGGCAGCAGGGACTGCGGGGTCCCTCCCCACACACAGGCGCTCATCCGTCGGTTCCCCTTCGTGGGCCAGCACTGAGAATGCTCACCACCGTCCCCAGCCTGGGAGACGCACAACCAGCTGATCGTCCTGGGTGAGGGCTCAGGCCGAGGAGGAGCTGGCCGGCCGGGTCCGGAGAGGAGAGCAGTGGTGCCTCCTCTGCCGCCCGGCCAGCCGCCAGCTCCCCGCCGCGCAGCGCAGATTCGAGGGTCTGGCTCAGGTCATGGCTTCCCTGTGACACCCCCGTCCCCAGGTGTTGATCCGCAGGGGCCGCGTGCCCATCGTGTCCTTGGAGTGCGTGTCCTGCAAGGCGCAGGCGGTGTACGCAGTGAGTCGAAGCTCCTACGTGTACCTGGAGGGCCGCTGTGATAACTGCAGCGAGGGTTCCAAGCGAGGGGTGAGCGAGCGGGGGCGGGGCGCCAGGGAGGGGAGGGGCGACGTGAAGGGGCGGGAGCGTCCTCGGGCCCCGCCCCTGACCGCGGCCCCGCCCCCTGGCCCCGCAGCGCTGGGCGGCGCGCACCTTCAGCAACCAGACGCTGGTGCTGGACGAGACGACCACGTCGACGGGCAGCTCGGGCATGCGGCTGGTGCTGCGGCGCGGCGTGCTGCGGGACGGCGAGGGCTACACGTTCACGCTCACCGTGCTGGGCCGCTCGGGCGAGGAGGAGGGCTGCGCCTCCATCCGCCTGTCCGCCAACCGGCCCCCGCGCGGGGGCTCCTGCCGCCTCTTCCCGCTTGACGCCGTGCGCGCCCTCACCACCAAGGTGCATTTCGAGTGCACAGGTGAGCGCAGCGGATGGGGGGGCGCGGGCGGGGGGCTGGGGGCGCCACTGACGCTCCGAGGGCCCCGCAGGCTGGCAGGACGCCGAAGACGCGAGCGCCCCACTGGTGTACGCACTGCTGCTGCGGCGCTGTCGCCAGGGCCACTGCGAGGAGTTCTCCGTGTACAGGGGCAGCCTCTCTGCCTACGGAGCTGTGCTGCCGCCGGGTTTCGCACCGCACTTCCAGGTGGGCCTGGCCGTGGTCGTGCAGGACCAGCTGGGCGCAGCTGTGGTCGCTCTCAACAGGTGAGCCTGGACGGGGGAGGGGTCGGGACAGGTGGCAGGTGGGAGTGGGGACTGCCACTCGTTCACCCCGGGACTCTGCCCTCAGGTCTCTGGCCATCACCCTGCCACAGCCTCCTGGCGACCCCCAGGGAGGACCCGCAGATCTCACCAGCTGGTTGCACGGCCTCACGGAGAGCATGCTGCCCAGGCTGCTGAGGCAGGCTGACCCCCAGCACGTCATCGAGTACTCGCTGGCCCTCATCACTGTGCTCAATGAGGCCAGTGTAGGGGTGAGGACTCCTCTCATCTGTCCTCAGTGGGGACAGTGGGCCCACACCAGTCCCTGCAGCCTAGCACATGCTTAGTTCTCTTGTGGGTCACCTTGAAACAAGTTCTGGTCCCTGTCCCCACCTGTGGACTCCCCCACTCCCAAGCACACCCCGGGGAAGGAGTCCTGGGAAAGCTTCCTTTTGCTCCCGAAGAAACAGTCCTTGAGCCTCCACCCAACTTTCGTGGTGGTGGAGACAGCCTGCACTGCCCCCCCCCTCACTGCTGCTGGGGCCGCTCATTGCCCACTCAGGGCCCCCTGTGCTTGCTGCCCGCAGTCCGAGCAGGTTCTGGCCATGGCGGCAGAGGAGGATGCCAGGCGGCAGCTGCAAGCCCAGATCCGCAAGAATGTCACAGAGACTTTGGTCTCTCTGCGGGTCAACACTGTGGATGACATCCAGCAGATCGCGGCGGCGCTGGCCCAGTGCACGGTAGGGGGATGCTCAGGCCCTTTGGCAGCCCTTGTCCCAGCCAGTCTCCCCAGTCATTTGCTGGTCTTTGGGCATTCCAGGGTGGAGCCACAGGGGTCTCCATCCTTCTGGTGACTGCAGGGTGGCCTGGGGCATAAGGAATAGCCTAGCTATAGAGGGGTCGGACACGAAGAGGGCATTCCTGTGCCATCCTCCTCCAGCCCACAGTCATGCCCCACCTGGCTTCTGTAGCTTGGAGAGCGACCCACTCTACTGTCCAGGGCTCGGGGACTGGACTAGGCTGGTCCAGGTTGAGCCTAGTCTCAGTGGGGGGTGGGAAATTGCTCCAGAGCCTTCAGCAGAGAAGGGAGCAGAGCCCCTTCCCAGGGAGGTGGGGAGCCCATGGCCATGCACGTGGCTGGGGGTGGGTGGCAGGGCCCCATCACTCTGGGTCTTATCTGGGTGGAGAGAAGCCACAGAAGAGCTTTCAGCAGGGAGGCATGTGGGTGGAACCCACACTTGGGGTAGTTTTTCCAGCTGCATCGTGAAGGGGGTTGGGAAAGGCCAGGGCCACAGTGGGTGCCCAGCAGCATAGCCCGTGTGACAGAGCTGAGCCGGCCCAAGGCGTCGGCGGTGTGGCGCTGGGCATCCGGGCTGGAGTTGGGTGGAACACGGCGCCGGCCTCTCTGCAGGTGTCCAGCAGGGAGCTCGTGTGCCACTCCTGCCTGAAGAAGACGCTGCATAAGCTTGAGGCCATGATGCGCATCCTGCAGGCTGAGACGGCTGCCGGCACTGGGACGCCCACGGGCATCGCTGACAGCATTCTCAACATCACAGGTGCGGGCAAGGCCTTGGCAGGCTCGCGTGGCTCCCCCCACCTTCTCCTGCCTCTCCCCCACAAGCATTCCTCCACAACCTCCTGTGCTCTCACAGGCGACCTCATCCACTTGGCCAGTGCGGACATGCAGGGCCCACAGCCCTCGGAGCTGGGCACCGAGCCGCCCTCACTCATGGTAGCATCCAGGGCCTACCACCTCTCATCGGCCCTCATGTGCATCCTCATGCGCTCCCGTGTGCTCAACGAGGAGCCCCTGACACTGGCGGGCGAGGAGATTGTGGCCCAGGGCAAGCGCTCCGACCCGCTGAGCCTGCTGTGCCAGGGCAACGCCTCGGTTCCTAGCTGCCACTTCTCTATCCCCATGGCCTTCAGCGGGGCCCTGTCCAACCTCAGTGATGTGGTGCAGCTCATGTTCCTCGTCGACTCCAATCCCTTCCCCTTCGGCTACATCAGCAACTACACTGTCTCCACCAAGGTGGCCTCCATGGCCTTCCAGACGCAGGCCGGCACCCAGATCCCCATCGGGCAGCTGGCCTCGGAGCACGCCATCATCGTGAAAGTGCCCAACAGCTCCGACCAGGCTGCCCCGGGCCACCGCGCCCCTGCTGGCTCCGCCGTCATCCAGCCCCAGGCCTCCATCAGCGTTGCGGTCACCCCTGAGAACAGCAACCCGGCGGCCGGGCTGCACCTGCAGCTCACCTACACGCTGCTCAGTGGTGGGTGCCGCGGGCGGGGTGCTCAAGGCTGCTGCCTCCTCCCCACCTTAGCCCGGCCCGTGTGGGGGCAGCAGGGGTGCCCCAGGTGAGGAGGTGTTTCTCACAGACCACCCCCCAATTCGTGGCCTTTGGTAAAGTCTGCCTCCTGCTTCACAGGCTGCGGGGGCCTGGCCTGGGGGCAGTGGGGGAGGAGCGCTGAGCGGGTCGGAGAATGCTCCAGCCAGCCCCCTAAGCCCTAGTTAGTGGGGAGGGCTCCAGATGGCTCCCGCGGCGCCCCCTGGGCTGAGCGACTGCCCAGGGCCTCTGCCCGACCTATGCTTGTGCCCCTAGAGCGCTACTTGCCCGAGGAGCCTGAGCCCTATCTGGCTGTGTACTTTGACTCGGTGCCCGGGCCCAACGAGCACAACTGCTCCGCCAGCAGGAGGATCAGCCTGGAGGAGCTGGCAGGCGGCGACCACAGGCCCTATACCTTCTTCATCGCCCCAGGGTGAGCGCCCACCCTGCTGGTGCGAAGCAGGCCCACGGAGGACCTATTGTGGGCGTGGGGCTGACCTCTGAGTGCAGGGTGGGTGTGACCAGGGTGTGACCAGATCCCTGGGTGCTGAGGTCACATGCGCTCCCTGTGGGAAGGGATGTGGCGGCAGGAGGGGGCGGGCCAGTCATGGGTCTGAGAATGGCTGGGGCCCAGAGCCTGGGGCCTGGCGGAGTCTGGCTGTGACACTCCCTTGTCCTACTAGGACCAGAGACCCAGGTGGGACTTACTACCTGAATCTGACCAGCCACTTCCACTGGTCAGCACTGGAAGTGAGCGTGGGCCTGTACACGTCCCTGTGTCAGTACTTCAGCGAGAAGGAGATGATGTGGAAGACAGAGGGGCTTGTGCCTCTGGAGGAGACGTCCCCCAGCCAGGCCGTCTGCCTTACCTGCCACCTCACTGCCTTTGGTGCCAGCCTCTTTGTCCCCCCCAGCCACATCCACTTCATCTTTCCAGTGAGTGGCACCCTGTTTCTTCGTCCTGAGAAGGTGAGGTGGGGGCTATGGCTCCTGGGCCTGATGGCTCTGTCTCCCCAGGAGCCGGCCTCAGGCGTGAACTACATCGTCCTGCTGACGTGTACCGTGTGCCTGGTCACCTACGCAGTCATGGCCGTGATCCTGCGTAAGCTGGACCAGCTGGACGTCAGCCGGGTGCGCATCATCCCTTTCTGCGGGAAGGGAGGCCGCTTCAAGTATGAGATCCTGGTCAAGACCGGCTGGGGCCGAGGCTCAGGTGAGTGGAGGGGCTGCCCCCGGCTTGCGCTCTCTGGCCACCCGCCCTCACGGTGATGCCACATGAGGGCTCAGTTTACCCAGCATGTTGCGAGCAGGAGCGTATGGGTCGTCCCGGCACTGTTGGGACACCGGGGCACTGGAGCACAGGGCCTGCCCGTGTGGGTGGCGGACGGTCAGAAGGTGAGGGTGGTCATGAGCCATTACTGGTCATGAGCAAGGACAGCATGACACGGACGTGAGACATGCTGAGGATAAAAGCGTTTGATTTCATTGTGAAGCACTTGCTTAGTGGTCTGGACAGTGGTTGCCGATAAGCAGGGTCGGGCCTGATTAGTACTTGGATGGGAGACAGTGGTTGCCGAGCAGCCACGGCACTTCCTGCGGGCAGAGAGCCTGTTCTCCAGCCTCGCGGCGGCTTCGGACACCTCCCCATTGCCCCTCTAAATGCTCCTGTGTGGGTATTTTGTCAGTGTCAGGTGTTGTGCACCGTCTTGGTCCTTCCCCTCCTGATGTTCGCCATCATGGGCCCCAGGTGGTGTCGCTGGCCCGGTTACTTTGGATCCTAAGTCACCACCCTGCGCTGCCACTTTTCACTTCCTTTCTGTGCTTCCACCCTTGTCGGCCAGTCCCCTTCTGATGCCCCAGTTGTATAAAACGTTGCATGTGTTTATCACCAGGAGACAGGCGGGCAGTGCCCCGCGGGCCAGGTGGTGTGTGGGAACCAACGGGGACTCTGGTCCGCTGTTCCCAGAGCAGACTGGGGAGCTCGTGGCCCAGCTTCTGTCTCACGTGGTCACCCGCTGAGCCCCTCTGAGCCCGAGCACGTGCCGTGCCGTCAGGGGTCACGTTCCTGGCACGTGACATCGCTGACATGGCATCTGTCGGCCGTGCAGAGCCAGGACCGCCCGCGTCTGGTGAGGGAAGGAAGGGGGGCCTGGGGTCACGCGTCTGCCGGGCAGCACTCCAGCCCCACTGCGCGTCCGTCCGACCTCCAGGTACCACGGCACACGTGGGCATCATGCTGTATGGGGCAGAGGGCCGCAGTGGCCACCGGCACCTGGATGGGGACAGAGCCTTCCGCCGCAATAGCCTGGACGTGTTCCAGATCGCCACCCCGCACAGCCTGGGCAGCGTGCGCAAGATCCGCGTGTGGCACGACAACAAAGGTCTGTGGGGGCACCCGCGGCCAGCCCGCCAGCACCCCAGGCGTGCCCACCGGCCTGACGCACCCCCCCCCCCCCAGGCCTCAGCCCCGCCTGGTTCCTGCAGCACGTCATTGTCAGGGACCTGCAGAACGCCCGCAGCACCTTCTTCCTGGTCAATGACTGGCTGTCGGTGGAGACCGAGGCCAATGGCGGCCTCGTAGAGAAGGAGGTGCTGGCAGCAAGTAAGGGCCTGGCTGTCCCACCCGAGCAGCCTGGGGCTGAGCAGCCTGGGGGTGGCCCTGGGCCCACGGCTCCTCAAGCCCATCCATCCATCCATCCATCCATCCATCCATCCGTCCCTCCCCAGGCGAGGCGGCCCTGCGGCGGTCCCGGCGCCTCCTCGTGGCCGAGCTGCAGCGCGGCTTCTTTGACAAGCACATCTGGCTCTCCATATGGGACCGGCCGCCTCGGAGCCGCTTCACTCGTGTCCAGCGGGCCACCTGCTGCATCCTCCTCGTCTGCCTCTTCCTGGGCGCCAATGCCGTGTGGTACGGGGTCGTGGGAGACACCGCCTCCAGGTGGGTGCCTGCGGAGCTCAGATGGCCTCCTCCTGCCCCCCTGCCTCCTCCAGCCTGTCCGAGCCAGGGTCTCTCTCCTCTCTTGCCTCACAGCACGGGGCCTGTGTCCACTCTGATCCCGCTGAGTGTTGACACGATCGCCGTCGGCCTGGTGTCCAGTGTGGTCGTCTATCCCGTCTTCCTGGTCATCCTGTTTCTCTTCCGGATGTCCCGGAGCAAGGTGGGCCGGGGACCGCGGGGCTGCCAGAGGGCGGAGCGTGGGCTTCAGGCTTCTGCCAAGGGCGGTCGGTGCGGCAGCCAGAGCGGGAGAGTCAGGGGTCGCGGTGTTGACAAGCCCTTAGCTGGACTGACCCAAGAAAAAAGAGAAACAGATTGTCAAAGCCTTGGACGAGCCCAGGGTTCTCCCTGCTGACGCCACAGAAACCACTAGGACAGTGGGGGACCCGTGGACTGCTGTCCACCAGCCTGTCACATGACCCAGGCTCCGTGGACAAGTTCCTGGGACAAGTGACCGAACTGACCAGAGAGGAGATTGCCCTGGGAAAGGCCTCCAGCGAGAGGCCGGAGCAGCGATCTAAGACCTCCCGCATAGAGCAGCGCGATGGCCTCCCTGGTGGCGCCTGGCCACTGCCCAGGAGTCAGCACGGCCTCCACGAACTGACCTGTCCCGTCCCATGTGGCCAGAGCCGGATGCAGGAGGTACCGGCCAAACAGCCGCAGCCTCCTGAGCAGGACGGAGGCCCAGAGTCCAGCAGTGGGCGGCAACCGTCTGCTCTGGCTGCTTGTGTTCAGTCAACAACAATGAAAGCTCAAGTTCCTCAGGTCATCAGCCCCGTTTCACGTGCTCTGTAGCAGCACGGGGCTCATGGCTACCATGGCAGGCAGGGCGTCATTCTAGGACATTCTTTAGCACAGCACTGTGCTAGGCTCGGCCTTGCTCAGAAGGCAGCATGCCTCCACGGGGCAGGGCCCAGGCTGCCTCCCCCCGCTGACCTCCCTCTGCTGACCTCACCCTGCTGACCTCCCTCTGCTGACCTCACCCTACTGACCTCACCCCGCTGACCTCACCCTTGCCCTAGCTGACCTCCCTCCGCTGACCTGCCCCCTGCTGACCTCGCCCCGCTGACCTCACCCCCCTGACCTCCCCCCGCCCCGCTGACCTCCCCCTGCTGACCTCCTACCTGCTGACCTCCCCCTGCTGACCTGCTCCCCCACTGACTTCCCCCTGCTGACCCTCCCCCTGTTGACCTGCCTCCCACTGACCTCACTCCCACTGACCTCCCCCTGCTGACCTGCTCCCCCTGCTGACCCTGCCCCCACTGACCTCTCCCCCGCTGACCTCGTACCTGCTGACCTCCCCCTGCTGACCTCTCCCGCTGACTTCCCCCTGCTGACCTCCCCCTGCTGACCCTCCCCCTGCTGACCTTGCCCCCCACTGACCACGCCCCCACTGACTTCGCCCCTACTGACCTCGCCCCTGCTGACCTCCCCCTGCTGACCTCGCCCCCTCTAGCCTCCCCACCCCACTGACCCTCCCCTCTGCTGACCTGCCCCCCCCCGCTGACCTCCCCCCGACCTCGCCCCCGTGACCTCCCCCACTGACAGCCCACCTCTTCCGTAGGTGGCTGGGGGCCCGAGCCCCACCCCTGCAGGGCAGCAGGTACTGGACGTTGACAGCTACCTGGACTCGTCTGTGCTGGATGGCTCGTTCCTCACCTTCCCGGGGCTGCGCACGGAGGCAAGTGTGCCCCCAGGAGCCCTGCCAGGCTGGGGGTGGGGGGTCCTGCCACCTTGCGCAGTCCAGGGTCCTAGGGATTCTCTGCACTTCTCAACAGGCCTTTGCTGGACAAATGAAAAGCGACTTATTTTTGGATGATTCTAAAAGGTAGGGGTCCCTAGAGCAAATGTGAGCCTCGGCGTAGGTCGGCCATGGCCTGTGTGTGCCATGTCACGGGTGCCTGGGCTGCGTGGGCCGTGTGCGTGTCCTGGGCAGGGGTTGGCGGGCCTGTGTGTTGCCCACACCCCACCTCAGGGCCCTGTTTGCTCAGAAGCTTCTGGAGTCCGTGTGTGATTTGGAACTGGGAGTGTGCACAAGTGTCCCCTGGGCTCCCCTTGTCCAACCCGTGTCACCCTCAGCCTGGTGTGCTGGCCATCCAGCGAAGGCACGCTTAACTGGCCGGACCTGCTGAGTGACCCATCCATCATGGGCAGCACCCTGCAGCGGCTGGGTCGGGGCCGTACGGGCCACACACTGGGCCCGGAGGATGATGGTCTCTCCCTGCTGAGCCCCTCCTCACCCACCAAATACTTCTCAGCTTCAGGTGGGCATCACCCTGCTCTCCCAGGAGGGCCCCGAGGTGGGGGTTGCAGGAGCCATGCCCTCCCTGACGTGCACTGCTCCTGCCTCCAGATGAGGACCTGATCCAGCAGATCCTGGCCGAAGGTGCCAGCAGCCTGGCCCCCACCCAGGACACCCAAGTGGAAACGGATCTGCTCACCAGCCTGTGAGTGCCTGGCCGCTGGGGCTCAGGGTGGTGGGAGCCCGGGCCGGGAATCCCTGCTCGCCTCCTGGACGGGCCTGTGCTGTGCCATCCGTGTGCCCTGCCGTGGGGCTGGGCCCCGTCCCTGTGAACCCTGTCTGCACGGAGGCCAAGGCCAAAGGTGGGCCGGGTAGGGCATGCTTGGCGGTAGGTGCCAGCCCAGGCCAGGCCGGTGTGAGGAGCAGGCGGGGGCATGGGCTGGGGGCCACTTGGGCGGTGCTGCAGAAGCCACCACTGGGGTGCTGGCCCGATGGGGCGGGGCGAGGACCCCACCCACTGAGGGTGGAGGCCGGAAGCAACAGGGAGCCAGGACCAGGCTGACACAGGTTTCCAGCCCGGGGAGCAGGCTGGGTGCCGGGGCCCCTCCTTGGTCACGTCCACCCGTCCACCCGCTGACAGTGGGGAGAGCACCACATCACCAGAAGAGGCTTGAGCTGAAACTGCGGGCTACAGGTGAGCGCGAGCTACTCCCCTCTTCTGTGCCTCAGGTCTAGCGCCCCCAGGGAGACGACAGAGACGCTGACGCTGCAGAGGCTGGGGGAGAGGGGGCCGTCCAGCCCCGGTGTGACCTGGGAGCAGCCCGCGTCGGCCAGGCTCTCCGGGACAGGTGTGCCCCTGTGTCCCCAGGATGCCCCCGCCCTCCCCAGGGCTGCCTGTCACCGGCCTGTCTCCCTCCCCAGGGCTGGCGGATGGTCTGCAGAAGCGGCTGCTGCCCGCCTGGTGTGCGTCCCTGGCCCATGGGCTCAGCTTGCTCTTGGCCACCGTGGCTGTGGGGGTCTCCGGCTGGGTGGGCTCCAGTTTCCCCCCTGGTGTGAGCGTGATGTGGCTCCTCTCAAGCAGCTCCAGTTTCTTGGCCTCCTTCCTTGGCTGGGAGCCCCTCAAGGTAAATGGGATGCGGGGGGCCGGGCCAGCAGCCTCTGGCACCTGCAGGCCGCTCTGATGCCGCCTGTGGCGCAGGTCCTGCTGGAAGCCCTGTACTTCTCGCTGGTGGCCAAGCGGCTCCATCCTGATGAGGATGATACCCTGGTGGAGAGCCCGGCTGTGACCCCTGTGAGTGAGCGTGTGCCCCGCGTGAGGCCCCCCCACGGCTTTGCGCTTTTCCTGGCAAAGGAGGAAGCCCGAAAGGTCAAGAGGCTGCATGGGATGCTGAGGGTGAGCTCAGTCACGGGTGCCCAGCACCTGCTGTCCACCTGCATTCTGGCCAACGTGCTGGCTTCCTGTAGGTTCTCCCTTCATCAAAAACCGCATACCTACCCTTTACTTCCACAGAGGCCCTATGGCCCCTACCCTATCACCCCCAACTCCTACCCCCCCAGTCCTTGCTCTCTCTTCATGTCCAGCTCAGATGCCTCCTCTGCCTGGCCTCTCAGGGCCCTCGGGGTGGTCTCCGCCCCCAGCAGGGCATTGGCAGGTGTCTGTGTTGCCTTCTTGGCACCAAGGACCTTCGCCACGGGCAGATTGCCGGCCGGCTCTATTGTGGTGGGCGAGACTTGGATTGGCTGACCCCAGGGCTGTCCTTGCCTCCAGAGCCTGCTGGTGTATATGCTCTTTTTGCTGGTGACACTGCTGGCCAACCACGGGGATGCCTCATGTCACAACCATGCCTACCGCTTACAGAGTGCCATCAAGCAGGAGCTGGGCAGCCAGGCCTTCCTGGCCATCACCCGGTACGGACACCCCAAGCACATGCACATACGTCAGGTCAGGAGGGCACTGATGCCAACCAGGCCCCATCCTGACCCTGGCCTTGGGCCAACGCAGTCCCCAGGGGGTATGGGGAAGGGTCTTGGTACAGTTTTGTCAGGCCAGCTCCATAAAACTTACTGTCCTAAATGCAAGTAGGCTAAGGAATCTGAGTCTTCACCTTGTCCCCTTCTGTGGCACTGGCAGCCTGTCATTGGCTGGGCCGCTGACCACCCCCACCACGGGTTCCGGGAGCTTCGGGGTAGAGCATGTGACTGTGTGTGGGCAGGTCTGATGAGTTCTGGCCATGGATGTCACACGTCCTGCTTCCCTACATCCATGGGAACCAGTCCGGCCCAGAGCTGGGGCCCCCACGGCTGCGGCAGGTGCGGCTGCAGGAAGGTGAGCGGCTTCCAGCTGCCTGGCTGGGTGCCCTTTATCTTCCCTCTGCCTCCCTTCTTTATGGCCTCTCCCTTCAGGGCTGCAGGGAGGGTTTAGGGAGCCCATGGAGCGCCCTGCCCAGGCAGCGCTGGTTTAGTCACACTCACTCCTTGGCTGCTCTGCTTGCAGCTCTGTGCCCAGACCCTCCCAGCGCCGCGGTGCACGCGTGCTTAGCCGGCCAGGGCGCCTTCAGCACCGGGGACTACAGCATTGGCTGGGGTAGTGCTGCCCACAACGGCTCCGAGGCGTGGGCCTACTCTGCGCCGGACCTACTGGGGTAAGCCAGGGGTGCCCCCGCGGTTCCCTCCCTGGTGCCCGCACGCCTGCGGCCGGGCTCTAACACTGCCACCTCGCCAGCAGCATCTGGTCCTGGGGCTACTGCGCTGTGTACGACAGCGGGGGCTACGTGCAGGAGCTAGGGCTGAGCCTGGAGGAGAGCCGCGCACAGCTGGGCTTCCTGCAGCTGCATAACTGGATCGACAACAGGTGCGCACGCCTCCGCGGCCCCCCACCTCTGCCCCCGCAGCCCCTCAGGCTGGCACAGCAGCCCTCCTCCTGCTACGAGCCTGCGGCTCCCCATGCGTTTCGTTCCTGATGGGCCTCTCACTCAGCCTCCACCTCCCCCGGGGTCCATGCATCACCTGCCGCCACCCCTTCCTCCGGGAAGGCAACTGGTCTTACTGTGCCCCCCTCACCCGCGCAGGAGCCGCGCCGTGTTCGTGGAGCTCACGCGCTACAGCCCGGCCGTGGGGCTGCACGCCGCTGTCACGCTGCGCCTCGAGTTCCCTGCTCCCGGGCACGCGGTGACCGCCGTCAGCGTGCGTCCCTTCCCGCTGCAGCGCCTGAGCGCCGGCCTCTCCCTGCCGCTGCTCACCTCGGTGGGTGCTCGCCCCGCCCCGCCCCAGGCCCCGCCCACACCCGCCGCCCCGCCCCAGGCCCCGCCCATCGCTCGCCCCGCCCCCCGCAGGTGAGCCTGCTGCTCTTCGCGCTGTACTTCTCCGTGGCCGAGGTGCGCACCTGGCGCAGGGAAGGGTGTAGACGCGCGGCACAGGCCGGGGCGTGGGCGCGGTGGCTGCTGGTGGCACTGACCGCGGCCGCAGCGCTCGTGCGCCTGGCCCAGCTGGGTGTCGCCGACCGCCAGTGGGCCCGCTTCGTGCGGCGCCGCCCGCGCCGATTCACCAGCTTCGAGCAGGTGGCGCAGCTGAGCGCCGCGGCTCGCGGCCTGGCCGCCTCGCTGCTCTTCCTGCTCCTGGTCAAGGTGAGGTTGGGGCTGGGGGGACGCGGGGTGGGGGGCGCTGCCGGCCGGTGGGGGCTGGTCAGCTGACCCCGCTTGTCCACAGGCCGCGCAGCAGCTGCGCTTCGTGCGCCAGTGGTCGGTTTTTGGCAAGACGCTGTGCCGGGCCCTGCCGGAGCTCGTGGGGGCGGCCCTCGGCCTGGTGGCGCTCGCCGTGGCCTACGCGCACCTGGCGGTTATGGTAGGTGAGGGTGAGGCTGGCGGGGAGGGGGGGGGTCTAGCCTCGGACGTGCCCCTCACTCCTGCCCCCTTCCCTTGCAGCTGGTCTCCTCCTGTGTGGATTCATTCCGGAGTGCGGTGCGGGCCCTCTTGGTGCTGTGCCCCGGGTCAGGGGGTCCCGCCCTGTGCCCTGCCGAGTCCTGGCGCCTGTCCCCGCTGCTGTGCACCGGGCTCTGGGCCCTGCGCCTGTGGGGCGCCCTGCGGCTGGGGGCCGTCCTTCTGAGATGGCGGTACCATGCCCTGCGTGGGGAACTCTACCGACCGGCCTGGGAGCCGCAGGACTATGAGATGGTGGAGCTCTTTATGCGCAGGCTGCGCCTCTGGATGGGTTTCAGCAAGGTCAAGGAGGTGGGTACGGCCCAGTGGGGGGGAGAGGGACACACCCTGGGCCCAGGTGAGCCCAGGGTGCAGCCGGACTGACCGAGCCCCTGTGCCGCCCCCAGTTCCGCCACAAAGTCCGCTTTGAAGGGATGGAGCCGCTGCCCTCCCGCTCCTCCAGGGGCTCCAAATCCTCCCCGGATGCACCCCCACCCAGCGGGGGCTCAGACACCTCACGGCCCTCCACGTCCTCCAGCCAACTGGACATGCTGAGCGGAGGCCTGGGCCGCCTGGGGCCCCGGGGGGAGCCGGAGCCCTCTCGCCTGCAAGCGGTGTTCGAGGCCCTCCTGACCCAGTTTGACCGACTCAACCAGGCCACAGAGGATGTGTACCAGCTGGAGCAGAGGCTGCAGAGCCTGCGGGGCCGCAGGAGCACTGTTCCCCCAGCCTCGCCTCCCCACAGCCCCTGCTCAGCCCTGCAGCCGGCCCTGCCCAGCCGTCTTGCCCGGGCCAGTCGAGGCGTGGGCCTAGCGTCCAGCCCCAGCAGGGCTTCCCTGCGGGCTAAGAACAAGGTCCACCCCAGCAGCACTTAGCCCCCGGGGCACCGGGCTCCCCTACCCCTGCTCCGGCTTCTGGGAGGAGCCGGGGCAGACACCGTTTAGTATTAACTTCTGCTGCCCTCAAGGTTTGGGCCAGCAGAACAGCCGCACGGAGGCCCCGGAGTAGGCAGCCTCGTCTCTCTCTGGGGGTCTCAGCACTTTAAAGAGGCCGTGTGGGCAGCCAGGACCCAGGGGCCCTCCCCAGCTCCCTGTGGGTGGACACAGCGGTATCGGGCTGAGCGCCCAGCCTCTGAGATGCTAATTTATTACCAGAGTCCTCAGGTACAGCGGGCTGTGCCCGGCCCCACCTCCTGGGCAGACATCTCCCCTTGCGAAGGATCCAGGCTTCAGGGAGGGAACCTGCACCTCCCGTGGGCTTCCCCACTAAGTTATTACCTCTCTTGTGCCCCTGCTGAGTGCACTCCCCTTCCGCTACCATCTGTGTGTCTATCGTCAGTAATTTATATGGGGTTAAAATGTATATATTTTTGTACGTCGCTCTATTTTTCACTAAGGCCAAGGGACCTGGTGGCTGAAGCAGCCCTGTGCCCACTGTCACCCATGTTGAAGGGGGAGCGGGGACTGCAGAGTTGGCCTCCCTCCCCAGACACCTGACCAGGGGGCCAGGGCAGCAGTGGCTGCTGCTTGCATCCAGGTCTGGCCTGAGGCAGGTGCTGGGAGGGTACAGCCACTTCCGAGGCAGTTCCTGTTGCCCCCTGGCAGCAAGATGGCAGAGCCCAGACCTGCTGGTGCCAGGTGTGGGCAACGAGCAGGACGAGGACAGGGCAAGAACTCCAGAGTGGTCAGGTGGAAAGAGCCCTCCCCGGGGGCTGGCTCCCGGGGCTGGCTCGGGTGAGCAGGGGGCCGCAGGTGGCCCGACCGGCAGCCCAGTACTACGTATGTGGGCATGGCCACAGCTACAGCCTTGACCCCACCCCCCACCCGACAAAGTCAAATAAACAAGCTGGCTGACTGCACCTGTGTCTGAGCCTCGAGGGCTACACCTGCTTTATTTCAGGGGTGCACATACAGGCAGGGCGGCCCCTCACACAAACTCCGTGAAGTCATCCACAGAGGAGATGAGACGCTTCCGCTGGCCTGTCTCATACGTGGGCACAGGCTCTGCCGGCGCCTGAGCAGGGGCTTTGGGGTGGCCCGGGGGGTGCATCTGCATCAGTGGCAGGCTGGGGTTGGTGTAGTGGGCTTCCTCGCGGATCTGAGGGACACCAAATGCTTGAGCAGCCAGCCCCCTGCCCCCAACCCCCCACCACATCTGGGGCCCGTCTCCCCTACCCGGTGACGGAGTCGCTTGATGTGGCGAAGCCTGGCAATCCACTTGGAGGGATAGATGTCGGTGGGGTTGGAGCGGCTATGATGCACTTGTGAGGCCATCTGGGAGGGGAAGGCAGAGCAGAGAGCCCTCCAGGGGTGGCCCCTGTGCACCCGCCCACCTGCACCCCCCCCCCCATCATGCCCTCCACTCACATTTGCGTGCAAAGCCATCTGACGTGCCACAAAAGGCAGGTTGCGGTCAGACACGATCTTGGCCACACTGGTATCCACAAGACCTTCCATGTCTGGGGAGAACCAGAGCTCACACAACGGCTCAGGACCCTGAGTGCCTACCCCCTCTGCCCTGGGGCTCACCTTTCCTGCACTGCAGGGACACCAGGTTGCACTCATAGTCCAGGGGGGTGATGATCACGTGGACGAAGTTGAACTGGCCCTGCCCGGATGAGAGCAGAGGTCACCCCAGCCCTGAGGACTGCTTCCTGCCACTTCCTCACCCAGCTGACGGTGGCAAGCTTGTCAGTGTTGGTCACTTGCTACCTGAACCAGCCTGTGCTCTGCTCCGTTAACCACTGGCCACTACACACACCCTTCCTTCCCACCAAAGCCAGGGCATGCTGCCTTCCCCCTTCACCCCCCACTGCACATCTGGATGGCAACTGAATCCACCTGAGCTCAGGCTCAGTCATGACTGCACACAGGCACAGGGCCCCCCTCATGTCCCTGTGTGGTCTGGGGCTCCTGCCTCACCATCTACCAGGAGCAGCACAGGGCACTCTGCACGTTCCCCATAGTTGAGGCGCCCGCTGCGACAGCTCCGCTGGGCACCCCTGCCCATGACTGGACGCTGTTCAACAGCCGGGGGCGCTGTTCAGTGACCTCCTCTGAGGCTTCCCAGTCTTTAGAATACACCAGACACCCCCGCCTCCCCGCTGCCCGGCCTCCCCGCCTCACAGCTGTTGTGCAGGTCCCTGCCCGCCGACAAGTCTCCCGGACCGAAGCCGCCTCCTCGCGGCGGGGCCTCCAGCCCCAGCCCGCCGAGTACGGCTGCACATTGACTTCTTTACTCCTAAGGCCACAATCACTATCCTTGTCAGTACGGAGAAGGACACTGGCTCTGAGGGGCCCCAGGAGACCAGTGCCCGGAGGGCCGCACGCCCACCCTGCGGCTGCCTGGGCTCAACCTGAACTCATGGGTGCTTCCTCAGGAGTCTGCGCGGCCCCGCCCACAACACCCAGGCCCGCCCCCAGAGCTCTGGCCCCGCCCACACCACCCCAGCCCACGCCCAGGACTCACTCGGATGGTGCCCAGCTTGAAGTCCTCACCAGAGTCGTTGTAGATGATGGACACAAAGTCATTGCCCAGGTGGCGCTTCTTGTCACAGCGGTGCTTGTCCACATCCTTGGTGGGCATCAGGGTGGCAATGTGGAAGACGGCTGCGAGGCGGAGGGGGCCGAGCTGAGCGGCCCACATGGCCCTAGGTAGAGCCCTAGTAAGGGCTCCTCCGGCTGCCATCAGGCTGGTGTTGGTGGGGACGCAGGCAGGGGTGGCCGGGGCCCTCTGTGCCTCTCACCAGGGGCACCTGTTGGCTTCCCCAGAGGCTCTCCGAGCCTGCCCGGCCGGCAGGACTCAGCTCCTCTCCCCGAGGGCAGAGCTCGGGAACCAGCTGCCAACCTCATGGCTGCCCCACGCTAGGCCTGGTGAAGTCAGGCCCCCTGGCACCCCCACCACCCTCTACTCCGTGGCCCAAGGGCAGGCCAACACCGACAGGGTAGGGGACCGACCACGTGCCAGACAAAGGTGCATACCTTGCATGATGTCGTCATGCCAGCAGTAGGTGAACTGGCCATCTTCGCCACACACGTCCAGGCCCCCCAGGTACACCTTGTCCGGCTGGCAGTCTTTGAGCTCAATGAGCTTGCCCAGGCCTGTCAGGAACTCCGTGTACCTGTACGAGCCATGCTCGTTGGACAGGATGGCGAGCTCACTGCTGCTCTGTGGGCAGAGAGGAGCACGCTGGCACCCGCCCCTCCTCCTACACGGCTCCCCAGGGCCGGTCCACGTGAGGCCATCCTGCCCAGCACCTGCCGGGAGGTGGGGGTGGCGCATCCTGGACACCCTCCCCTGCACACAGAATTGGTCTGCCAGCAAATGTGCTCCAGGGGACCGTCAGAGCACGTCCAGGACTCTGGCATTCCTTGGAATCCCAGCCCCCGTCCACAGACCTGCCCCTCGCATGGAGACAATCAGCACCCCCTTCCTCCGGTTCTCCATGCAGCATAGAAATGCTTTGAATATTTAGGCAGAGTCACCTCGAACCCTTTGCTCAGAAGCGTTCACGGCCCTCCCATCTCCTTGGGAATGAAAACGCAGCTTCCCAGCAACCTACGAGGCTGTCCACAGCAGCCTTCCCCTTTCCTTCCCTGCTCCACCCCCCCACACCCTGCGCAGTGGACACTGCGCCAGCCACCCCAGGGCCTTGGCACCTGCCGTTCCTACACAAAACGCTCCCCTCCTGCACTTTCTCCATGCCTGGCTCGCTGATGCGAGCAGTCCCCTGCCCACACCTGCAGTATCCATGCATCTGCCACCTTCTATGCCATGCTCAGCACTCCCTCGGGCACCACGTGCTCACCCGCTAACCTGTGACTCTTGCTGTGTCCCTGGCACCAGTACAGTACCTGGGATAGGGTGTGGCAACTCACACAACTACTGAGCTCTATGGCAGAGGGGATCCAGACCCTGACCCCACCCCAGGCAGGAAGGCCACGCAGCTCCACCCTGGCACCCAGAAGCCTCACCTGGCCTTCTCCCACGTACAGGACGGCGATCTTGTGTGTGTCGTATGATGGAATCTGGTCGAGAAGCTGCACTGACCGCTCGAAGGACTGCAGCCACAGAGCCCTGCCTGAGCCTTGGGTGGGGGCCGGCCCCTGCCACCAGCCCTGAAGCCCCAGCCAAATTCCAGTCCAGGGAGGGCGCTCCCCACCCAGGTAGCCGAGAGCTAGGGCAGCCCACGGTGCCCCCCACCAGGCTCCAGGGGGACCTGGAGAGAAAGCACCCACCTCATTGGGTAGAAGGATGGGCTTGTTGGACTCGTCACCAAAGAAGGGTGAGTGGTAGAGCTGCAGGAACACAAAGCTGTCGGGGAGGGACAGTGAGGCCAGGCCGGGAGCCGCAGGCCGGGTCGGCGTCGAGGCCAGTTCTGTCTGCCCACGTTCAAGGCGCAGGCCTGAGCCTCTAGGGCACCACGTCCCCGTGGGGACTATCTAGCAGCTCCTGCCCCCGAGGGCAAGGCTCACCTGGGATTGATGCCTGGCACCTTCTCGGTGTTGGAAGCCCCAGCTCTGCTCCTGAAGGCGTCCCGCTCTACCCTTTTGCCTCTGCGTGACGGGGCTGAATCAGAGATGGTGTAGCCTCTGGGCCGCAGGCCACTGGGGGAGCGGGGGCAGCTGGAAGGCAAGGGACCCTCGGGCTGTGCAGGGTCCCGGCCCTGGTTCTCTTCACCTGGGGCTGACCAGGAGGCACCCGCCCCATCCAGAATCCCGGACTGTGACCGGGCCTTGGCCTCAGGGCTGAGCCGGCCAACATCAGACTTGTCCCCGGGATCCCCGAGTATGTCCTGCAGGGTCTGCAGCTCAGGGGAGGAGCTGGACTTGCTGAGGGGCTGGGAGGGCTGGAAGGAGAGCTCCACAGAAGGCCGGGTGCCCTCGGAAGAGACGGCTCGTTCGATGGGGATCCCTCCGGCAGCCAGCTCCTCTGCAGGGAACTTCTCCTCCTGGCTGGAGCTTGAAGACGACTGCCAAAGAATGAGTCCGCAGGGCCTCCATCAGGAGGGGTTCACTTGGCGGCGATGAAGCCCCCCATCCCCCAGTCAGGGCCACAGAGCCCCTCAGTGGCCAGTGGATGGCCCGCCACCTCCCCCCCCCCAGGACGGCCCTGGGCCTGGGCCCCACTGAGCAGCAGAGCCCAGCACCCGCCAAACCAAAGGATGCCAAGGGCCTGGATAGCGACCAGCTATCCTCCTACGGGGCCCGCTGGGAAAGCCCAGACTATCTGCGCGGGACAAACTTGGAAGGACACGTAGCCGTTTTTTAGGTGAGAAAAGAGAAGAAAAGCCTTGCCAGAGTGCATAGCAAGTCCGGCAGCCACAGACGGAGTGAGCAACCCCACAGTGCCCCCGCGCCCCAGGCTCCCCCATGCACTCACCCTACTGTAAGCTTCCACGCGGCCACAGCGCCGGTCTGTGCCTAGTGTCGCCTCGAAGTCCTCCAGCTCCGTGGACTCCACTGGCAGACTGGTCTCGCTTGAATTTCCCTCCTCCAGAACCACCGCAGAGTCTGGGAGGACACGGATGGGGCTACTGGGAGCTAGCCCGGCCCCCGGGGGCTCACATGGCCTCAGGGGCACCAGCCTCTCCCCAATGAGAGCACACAGTGGCCCCCGACAGAGCCTCACCTAGGACCTTCCTGGCCTGTGGCTCTAAGCTGCCCACACCCCATCAAGTCAGTAGAGGAGAGCACCCAGAGGGGCCCGGGTGCGGCCCCTGAGACAGGGCGTCTCCAATACCGGCTCCCCGGGCCTGGGGTGAGGGGCATCTGGCTCCTGGGATCCCTCCTGCTCCAGCGAGGTAAACGGGCAAGGGCAGCACAGACCCCATGAGGGAGGAGTCCTGCCTAGGACAGGGCCTGAGCTCAGGAAGAGGGGCGCACCTGGACCAGCCCTCGGGAAGAGGAGCCCAGAGTTCCTCCCTAGCCGGACCCGAGGAAAAGCCTGACACAGGAGAAATCCCTGTGCGCAAACACAGATGGGAAGCGCGTTCCGGAAAGCAGAGGCGCACCATCGGAGCCCAAGCCAAACCCGGAGCTGGGAAGTGCTAAGGAGAGGCCACGACGCCCCAAAGCAGCATTTTCTGTGCCGGCGTCAGGGCAGGGGTGGGGGGCATCAGGGGTGGGGCGCATCAGGGCAGGGGTCTAGGTGAGAAGCAACCGAGGATTAGCACAGCCCGCGGCCGCCACGCACACAGCCCCGGTACACGCACAGTCCGTTAGCTGCCTGCCACGTCCCGTCTGCACGCCGCCCTTTCCAAACTGGCTCCCGGCCACATGGGGGGCCCAGGGGAGCCAGAGGGCTGTGCGAGTCGGCCCCTCCCTCCACCTCCCGTAGCCAGGGCCTGAAGGCGACATGCCAGCCCACAATGAAGGGTAGACGCGGCCCAATCTGTGGGGTCACCAAACCAATCAGGCCACCAGAGGCCAGGACCAGGCTCACCCCCAAGAGCCATCCCCCACCAGCATGTGGCTGAGCTGCCCACCATCGCCTCATTGGGCCCGTTGACACAGAACAGGGCTCAGCTCAGGGTACAGGGCAGAGGGGCCCGCCAGCCAAGCGCAGGCATTCTGCACAGACGTCCTCATGCGTGACGCAGCCCTGCTCCCGGGGGCAGGGGGCGAGCGGCGGCCACGGAGGGATGACCGCATGAGGGGCGACGAGAGCAGCACGGGGCAGAGCGGCGGCAACGACCGCTTTCCTTAAAGAGACGTACGAATACCTGCCCAGGAAATGCTCCTGTGCAGCTTTCCTTGGCAACTGGACTGGTACAGGGAGGAGAAAGAGGCCACTGCAGGGAAACCGCGAGCGGCCAGTCAGCGGAAGGACAGACTACGCACAGTCGAGCGGAGAGGAAAGGCGCACAGAGCCTGAGCCTGGAGGGAGAGAGTGGAGGGCCAGCGGCGGCCGGCGGGCGGGCGGGCGGCTCATGGCCCACGCGGGCTCTGGCTCTCCGCACTGCTGCAAGGGGTGTCGGGGCAGGGGGAACGCGCCCTTCCTCCTCACTGACAGAGGCCGCAGCCGTGGGGAAGGCTGGAGGGTGGCCGGGAAGGAGCGCACCAGGCCAGCCAGGCAAGGGCACGAGCGTGCGCAGGCAGGCTCAGGCTGTGTGCTTGGCACATCCAAACCCAGACCCAAGCGCAAGTGCAGCTGCCCTCCTGGGGCCCCGGGTGTGCCCAGGGGAGTGCAGGGCACAGAGTGTGCCGGGCTCGGCCGCGAGCGCTCTGGATCACTCTGGACGTACCCACCTGCCCCTCGAGTGGAAGATGGCCTGGCCTTTCCGCAGAAATGGGTCCTGCGCCCCAATGTCAGGCCATGGCGGGGGCAAGGAAAGCTCAGAGACCCCTCTCCGGGGGCGTCCCCACACCTCCACAGGACACGCCGGGTGGGGGCAGCACTCACCTGTGTTAGATCTCGGGGGTGGAGGGGGCTTGGCTGAGCCTGCGGCAGGCACCGACAGCGACTTGTACAGAGCCGTGTCACGACGCTCCTTGAAGCGCTCAGCGGCCATGAGCGCGTTGGACAGCTCCTGCAGAGGCATGTTGTTGATGTCCGACGAGAAGGGGCTGAGCGGGTTCTCCAGGCTCATCAGCCAGCTGGTGTTCCCTGGGGAGGGGCAGGCACCACCCCTTAGGCCGCACACCCGATTCCTCCCCTGGTCCTCCCCTCCCTGCGCCCCATGTGCCACCCTCTAGGGCCCATGCCAGGGGGCAGTAGGGTTCCTGTGCCCAACTAGGGAGTGACAGGGAGGGGGCTATGCCCTAGGCAAGGCTTGCCCCTGGCGCCCATGTCAGGGCAGCGCCCGTGTAGCAGTGGCCCGCCTCACACGTGAGCACCCAAGTGAGCTCTGAGCCCAGTCCAGGCTTGAAAGAGGCATCTCCAGGCACCAGACGTGGCCACTGGGAAGCCTGGACAGGGCACGGCCGAGGGTAATTCTGGGCTGTCCCTCTCCCCGTAAGGCCCCGGGGCCCACACTCAGACTCCACTTCTGCACTGAGTGTCCTCCAATCCCGAGCCTCTCACCCTAACTCCCGACCCACCTCCCCTTGCCCCACCTGGGCCTCCTCATCCTGTCTCCCGCTTCCCCCTGCCTGTTCCCCAGCAAGAGCCAGGACCCGAAGCTCCACGCCCGCCATCTCCTGACCCTGCCGGCCACGCTGTGCCCAAGCAGGTGTTGGGTCCTGGGGCTTGGCTTACTGAATTCCCTCTTTCAGCCTGAATACCCGTCACGGGCTAAGTTGTATTCCACAAAATTCACGTGTTAAAGTCCTAACCTCCAGCAGCTCATTAAGGTAAAACAGAACCACACGGGTGGCCCCTGGCCCCCTGGGCTCTTAGGAGAAAAGGAGACAGGACACCACCCCACACCGACGGACGAGCTCAGAGCAATCAGCCCTGCCGACCCGGTGACCTGGGACTCCCAGGCTCCTGCTGCTAGAGCCTCGGGCACCTGATCTCCCTCACCACTCCCCTCTGGGGACCCAGCTAAGGCACGGAGCACAGGCTCCCTCAGCCCCAACTGCTGCCACAGCCTCCCGGGGATCTAGAGCCCTCGCAGGGAACAGTCTCACGCTCACCGGAGTAGCAGAGGCCCCGGCGTGCTGAGCGCAGGCTCCCCAGTACCTGTAGGTCTCCGGACCAAGATCTCCGCCCAGCCCTGGGTCAGCAGCGGTACGTAGGCTGCCAGGCTCGTCTTCTCCTGTGCTGGGAACCGGGCGCCAGCCGAGGCCCTGTCAGACTTGCTGGCCAGCGCTGCCTGCGTGCCTGGGGAAGTGGGGCCGCCCAGAAAGTGGGAGGCTGGAGTGTCCAGGGCGCCAACACGAAGACCGTGGCCCCCTGAGGAGGAGGGCAAGAATGCTGGTGACCACCGCCTACCCAACACAGAGCCACCAGCACGGAGCCAGCTGCTCCACCCGGGGCCCAGGGCCACAGGCAGCTCAGCCGTCCCCGGGCATGGCTCTCTTACGGTGTCAGCACAGGTAGATGCAGGGCAGGAAGAACGGGCCCCAGCAGCCGCCCCCCAGTCAGACGAGGGCTCGTTCCAGCTGCAGCAAAGGGAAACCCCAGGGGCGAGCCAAGCTGAGGGCCGGGGCCGTGGAGCATTCACAGGAAACCCTGACCATGAGAAACAGGCCCTGGGCAAAAAGGGGCCCTCCCGTCCTACAGACGGCTACGCACCCGTGGCCAAGGCTCACAGAGACAACGCCCCCGTTATTCAAAAACCAGGACAGGCCTGAACTCCAGCACCTGGTCCCCAGACTCCCAGGAGTCTTTGCAAGCACCCCCAGGGACACCCGGGAAGAGGCAGGGTGGGGCACAGACTCACCGGACATGGAGCGGACCCGGTCCCGGGTGCTGCGGAACACCTGCTGCCCAGCCTGCGACTCCAGCTTGGCAGGTGCCTCCTTTGCCTGTCTCACATGCGTGCCAGGGTCCGAGCTGAGGACAGAAGGGCCCATGCAGAGCATGACCACGGTGCCTCATGAGCTCAGGACAGCCATGGTCAAAGCCTGCCGGGCAGGGGGCACCAGGCACACTCACCTCAACTCGGGGCCACCTTGCTGCTCTCCTGAGTCCAAGCCCAGCAGCGACCGGGTCCCCGTCCCCACGCTCGTCGTCACAGTGACAAGCTTGTTCCCAACCAGCCAGGTTTTGGTCCTGCCACCAGCCAAGAGGAACTCTCCCACCGGGGACCTGAAAGTACGGGAGCCTCAGCCAGGCCCGAGCCCGGTATGTGGGGCGGGGGGCAGGGGGGGCCCACAGGGGCATCGAGGTGTCAAAGGTACAGTGACCGCGGCACGGCAGGCCCACCGCCTGCTGCCATGGCTTCCGAGTGCAGTCACAGCGGCAAAGCCGGAGCCTGGCCTCCCGTCCCACCCCACGGGCCTGGCTCGCACCTCTTGGGGACCGCTGTGAAGTTGGAGAACACGTATCTGGCCATCATGTCCAGACATGTTTCCGTGAGCTCCAGATGGAGATTTTTCAAGTTGTCATCAGCCTGGGCCATCGAGTTCTCGTCGGCAGACCCCAAGCTGGCGCTTGTGAGGGACGTCTGGATCCTGCTGGAGGGAGGGGCCCCGCGAAGTCAGGGCCCCGAGGAGCGACCCCTCTCCCACCGGGGGCCAGAGCTCCAGGCATGCATGTGCTGGCAGGGCCGCAGCCACAAACACCCCACCGGGGCGCACGGCTGGTCGAGCCATGGCCTGGCAAACCACGCGGACCCTCCTCCCAGAGAGAGGAGGCGCAAGGCCTCACGGGAGAGACCCAGGCCCACTCGTCGGAGCAGAGGCTCGGGAGACAGGGCAGAGAGCGACGTCCCCTCACCGAAGCACAGGAGAGTTAGGGGATGCTTTGAGGCAGAACGGTTTAGTCATGCAGACACACAGAGACCACGACACACAAAGATTGCATTCTGCCCTCAGGGCCACCTCCTGGTGACAGGGAGGGTCTGGGCTTCATGTGCAGCTCTTCCCCCTCAACTCAGGCCCCCCGGGATCCACACGCACCCACTGACCCGGAGAAGAGGCTCTCGTGGCTCTGGTTCGGATACCAAGTTTCACAGCCCCTTTGCCACATTTGGCTTGTGTTAAGGAACTGGCTAAAAAGAGCTGAGAGCCTCTTCCCCCTGCGCCCCCGTCCCTCCCGGCCAAACCCCACTTGGCAGAGGCCAGCCCGAGGCAGGGGCCTGAGCCAGGCAGCAGTGAGGAGGTGGGTCTCCAAGCTTCGGACTCCAAAGCCTGAGGGGGCTTCCTGGGGAGGAGAGAGCCCCCCACCCTCAGCTCAGTGCAGCCTAGCCTGGTCGGCGCAAAGCAGTGACCCCCAAGAGCCTGCACCTGCACTCAGACGCAGCGGGGAGAGGTGACCCAGGCCGCGCCCCCACCCCCCAGGCCAGCCCCCACCCCCACTGCCCTACAGAGCCTCCCGGTCCCCTTCAGCCACAAAAGAAAGCAGCCCTTACTGCTAAAAGAAATCTCAAGAATATGGCATCACTTGAGACGATAGGAGAGCCAAACCCTAGAATGCGTGCCCCCCCCCAACCTGCGTGGGTGCCGCTTTGATATACGAAGGCCCCTTACCTCCGGGGACAGGCCTGCAGGCAGCTGCCACCGGACGCCTGGCTTTCTCAGAGCTACCGCCCTGCTTCGGGCTCCCGGGCCAGCTTCTGAGGATGCCATGCAGCCAGCCCGGACTCGAATGAGGCTTGGGGACAGAATGCAACCTTTCCACCCCTCACCTCCAGGCTCCCCTGGACCGAGGGCTGCCGCTCGGGCTCTCCTGCAGCTCCGGCCAGGGAGGGCATGGGCAGGTGACGAGGTCATGCAAGCAGCCCCATGCACCGCCACCCGGGTGCTCCCGCCTGGCAGCGCCACCTCTCGGGCCAAGCTCCAGGGCCTGGCCCCCCGCCCGACAGAGCCCACTACCTGCGGACCACATGTTCAGACACACTGATGCTGCGGCATCGGAAGGCCTCGGCGGCAGAGCTCTCTTTGAATTCTTTCACAGGTGGAGAGTTATTCAAGCCTTGTTTGGGGGGTCTGGCTATCCTCAAACTACCAGGTGAGGAAGGAAGGCCCAAGCCCCAGAGAGCCCAGCTCCCGGGAGGGAGAACAAGCCATTGGAGGGATGAGGAGGAAAGGTCACAGGCCACAGGGTCAGGATGGAGAGCCCGCGGGTGAGATGAACAAAAAATCATGCCAGAGGCCAGTTAGCAGGGGGAAGAAACAGAAAACAAAAATGCATGAAAATACATCTTATAAACATGACAGAAAAAGTAAGGCTTCACGCATGGTACCAAAACAAAAAACATCAGTGCAAATTAAACGTGGATGGAACGCACCACACGGCAGATTCCAGCTGTGCTGACCAGGCGTCCCACCTGCCCCATGGGCGGCCAGCACCACCCCGCGCAGGGGCCAGCACACCTGAGGCCCCAAAGGTCGCCATTCAAAAGGCCGGTTCTTAGCCCCAGGCCCCTGGCACCCAGCTACTGGGGGCTTGAGAAGCCAGCTTTCGACTTTAGGTCACACTGACCTGGTCATTCTGGAAAATGCCGTATCCCCACCAAGGGAGAACTGAAAAGCTTGGGCAGGAAGATGGGGACAGAAAGAGGAGCTGCCGTTCGTATGAGATGCACACAAGACACAAGGCCCAGCACAGCTCAGATCTGGTACCAGCAGCCGCGGTGGTCCAGAGGAGCGAGCCCCCGGATCAGCAATGGCTGGAGAGCAAGCTCAGGAGGGGCAGCGCCAGCCCGAGGCTGGGCTGACCGCAAGGCCCCGAGCTCGTCCCCATCCAGGCCAGGGATTCAGCTTCTCAGGAGCCACGGCTGCCCTGATGCAACCCTCGGCTCATTCAGCGGAGTCAGACCCAGGCCTCGGCGCCCTACACCTAGCACCCCAATTCCCTCCTCAGCGAGTCTGCACTCAGGATGCAGGCAGGCCCGGCCACAGCCCAGTCCTGGGCTCCAGGACCCCACAGGCCACCGGGCCTGGCTGGGCAGGAAACAGCTGCTCCTCCAGCTAAATGTGGGCGTGAAGGGCCCTCCCAGGCCCTGCCCGGCCTCTACACCAAGACCCCCGGTGCCCAGCACAGTCCGCATGGGGGAGAGCCCGAGCCTCATCCCATCGCCGCTGGCTGGCCTCGGGGCAGCAGCTCAGCCCAAACCCTCTACGCACAATGCCAGCGACGGGCCAGGCTTGCAACCCCACCCCAGCCCAACCCGACACTGGGCACGCCCCCCGCAGGCCCGCACCTCTTGGGCCTCTCGTTGAGACTGGTGCTTCGTGCTCTGAAACTGTCCTTCTCGGGGGTGTCATCAAAAGACAGGAGGACGTTGGAGCGCAGGCCCTGACAGGGTGGAACAGACCTGAGCCATGGGCCGGGGGGCCCAACCCCATGCCTGCAGCGAATGGTGTCTCAGCAAGCACTGCACCCAGTAACGCCCATCCCGCTCTCCCTTGACCGTCACCCCACTCTGCCATGGAAGCCAGTGGCAAAGCGGGTCCCACCCTAACAAGGGGTTTGGTATCTGCTGGCCTACCTTAGTGATATAAGGAACAAAATCCTTCCGGAAGGGCAGGCGGCATCTAATGAACCACATGGCTATGACGTGATGGGCCAGGCACACGATGTACTGATTGAACCTGTAGGAAGGAAGGGAAGTGATGCAGCCCCGACCGGGGCCCCGAGACCACCGTGCCTGGAGCCACACATAGAAGCTGGGTCAAGGACCAGCACAGCAGCCCCACTTCTGCACGCGGAGGCCTTGGGCGTGCCCAGCTCGCAGGCAGCACAGCAGGGCTGGGCAGCACTTACTTGGAGGGATTGGTGTAGGGCAGGGAGATGGCAAACACGCTCGCGTACTGCTCTGCTGCGAAGTTCCTGTACAGGTGGGGCAGCCTGGCCAGTGCTGCAACACCAGGACACAGTGGTGAGGGGGCCTGAGCTACTTCTGAAAGGACCTCGAACAGGACGTTTCCTTGACCCTGGGCGCTCTATTCCAAGGGCTAGGAACCTATGTCCCCAGGCCAAATCCAGCTGGCGGCCTCCCCCTGGGTCACCTGTGAGCTAAAGATGCCTTTCACGTCTTTAAAAAGCTATAAAAAACAAGAATATGCAGCAGAAGCCATATGTGGCCCTCTGCAGAAATTCTGGTGGCCCTGCTCCGATCCTGTCGCCCGCCCTGCTGAGGGCCAGGCACGCAAGAGCATGCACTGAGTGGGCGAGGCACCCTGAACCCTTGGAAGTCCCTCCAGAGTGTGCTGTGCGCGGAGGGGAACGGAGAGGAAGCTGTGAGAACCAGGCCAAGGTCAGGAGCCAAGGAAAAGGAAGGCTTCTGTGCTGTTTAAAATGACCCTCAGGGGACGGCTGGGTGGCTCAGTGGTTGAGTGTCTGCCTTCAGCCCAGGGCGTGATCCTGGGGTCCCAGGATCGAGTCCCACATCGGTCTCCCCGCAGGGAACCTGCTTCTCCCTCTGCCTGTGTCTCTGCCTCTCTGTCTCTCGTGAATAAATAAATACGATCTTTAAAAAATAATAACAATAAAATAACAATATTGACCCTCAGAATAAGAAATGAGCCAGAAAGGAAAGCATTCAAGGTCCTGTGGCAACAGAGAGCACATCCCGGGTACCCCGTGGAGACGCTGCACCAAGCTGTACCCGGAGGGGTCACATGAGGTCAGGGTCCGCACAATGACCGTGGGCAGGGTGCAGCCCCAGCCCCAGGGGCCCACTCCACACTCACACAAGCGTGTGTGCACACAAACGCACAAAGACGAGCAGAGAGACAGACGCTTACTTGACAGGAACTCGAGGAGTGGAATGGCCATACTGGCCGTGGCCGAGATGTGTGTGAGCTTCACGACCAGGACGGGAAGCGCCTTGATGATGATGTCAGGCATCTCCACGCTGCAGATGGCCAGGGCCACCACACACTGGCTGGCGCAGCGGTAGATCAGGCCTTGCTCCAGGCAGTACACCATCTCCCGCTGTGGGACGGCACGGGTGCCTCAGGCCGGCCTCCCCACCCCCACCCCGCCCGCAGACAGGCTCGGGTCTGGTAAGCCAGGGCCCTGTCTCCCCGCGCCCACTCTAGCGTGTTTTACAGAGGGGAGACCGAGCCTTAGGAAGGTTCGACATCTTGCTCCAGGGCCTTGAACCAATAACCAGCACAGCACCAGGAGCCGACCCCTCCCGAGGTGACGACACAGTGGGGCAGCTCTGGCCAGGTGCCTCCTGACACTTCCAACCAGCAGGGCCAGCAGGACACCGGAGCCAGGACACGCTGGGCCCATGACCCCTCTGCTTATGGGATTCCTTCCCCAAGCTGGCTGGCCTTATTATGGGGTGGTCCTTCCTGGCACAGCAGGCCACTGGGTCCGCACGCCTGGGGGCAGCTTCCTGAATGAAGACAGCAAACTTTACCCAGCGGGAGACGGGGAGCAGCTCAGGCCGCGGCCTCAGGGCCCACGAATGATTTCAGTTTCCTGTACTCACCCCAGCCCTCAGAAACACCTGGGCTTCCAGGGCTCTCAGGGAAACTACAGCCCAACAGGGCAGAAGGGGGCAGCAGGCCCAGCAGCACAGGAGCCGCTGCAGCCGGGGAGGAGGCGGGATGCCCAGAGTGCACTCCCGATGCCGCTACCATCTGCACAGCCCCCCTGCTGGCTGTGACCTAAGTGGACCAGCCCATCTAAGACCGCAGTTCCCTCACCCACTCAGGTGGACTGACCAAGAGGCATCGGGACTTGAACCGCCGCAGCAGACATGCCCAGCGGCGCAGTCAAGGAGCTGCCGTGTGCCCACTGACGGCAGAAGTGCAAGCAGGTGGAAGTCAGGCACCCTAGGCCCTGCTGCCGGTCTCTTAGAAGAGGCCCAGCTCTGCCGAGACTCTTAGCACTTGTCCTGAAGGCAAGCAATGCTCCAGAAAGAAAAAATGCCGCTGCGTGTGGAGGGGCAGCACAAGGCCCGCACCCCCCAGAATGCAACTCAGGAGCGCCAGCAGACACCGAGGTCTGCAGTTCCAGGCTGGGCCAGCCAGCAGGGGTCCAGCAGCCACACGGGGAAGCAAAGCCAGCTCCCCTGGGCCTGGCCCAGCAGCCCCCAGGTGACAACAAGGCCCAGCCCGTCTAGTGGAAGCCAACGTCCCGTGGCCCAGACTTCAAACGCCAGCACTCCCAGGCCGGCCTATCCCTCTCCCGCCTGGTACCTGTCTGGTTTTGTCCAGGTAGTTATGGTAAGAGATGAGCGCCGTCAGCACAGGGACCACAGCCAGGTGCAGGTCGGTTCTGGAGAACCCTTCCGGGGTGCCTCGGAGCCGCTCCAGAGTTCTGGGACCTGAGAGCTGAAGACGGCAGCTCAGAAGGGAGCGTGCCCGACAGCGAGGCAGGGCCCACTGTCAAGTGGCCAAGGGCAAGGGGGAAGCAGGGCTCAGGAGCCAGGGGGGCCTTCCTACTCCCTTCTCTGGCCCAGAGTCTGCCTTTTCAGGCACGCTGGAGGGTGCCCACCCTAATAGGCACAGGAGACCCCAGCAAGGAAGGAAGGGGGAGGATTCAGAGTACCATCCTCAGGTGGCTAGTTCAAGCCCTTGGCTGCAGCCTCTGACTCCTGCCCCCACATGGGAAAGGAAGGGCAGGGGCCCCAAAGGCACCATGGGCCTGGCAGGTGAGGAAGGAAGGCCCCGCCGCGTGAGGCGGCCTCACCATGGAGCAGAGGGCGGAGGACAGCTGGTCCACGCTGCAGGGCGAGGTGAAGATGAGCACCTTATAGCGCAGGGACTCCGGCAGCTTGCTAAGCACGAGCTTCAGTACCTTCCAGTCCACCTCCTGCAGGCAGAGGGGCTGGTCGGGGGGGTGGGTGCACCCAGGGGTGGGACGACATGCTCTTGGGCCAGCAGCCTGGTTTGCAGCTGGGCAGCTAGTGACCTCTGGGCCCGCTCTGTCCCTGCAACCTCCGGAGCTCGTGCTCCTCTGGGGAAGTTCAGTCCCGGGCCCTCCAGACACCAAGTGAGCGGGGGTGGGGGACCCATCCCACACAGCCAGTGCCCCACCCCCAGCGGGTCATGGGACTCCACACCTGCCTGCCCCAGGCGCCCACGGGGACCGCAAGAGAGGAACCTGCGTCCCAGCTCAAAGGGAAAGCAGCACGTGCTCCTGAGTGACCCAGAGCCCAGACATCCACTGCAGGACCTAAGGCCACCCAGGGCCACAGCAACGAGGAGGACGTGGTGGTGGCCCCCCAGCCCCAGAACTTCCCTGCCAGCTCCTCCCCACCTCATCAGGGAGGCCACCGCCTGGGCGACACCAAGGCCGTGAGTCTTCCGAGCCTCTCCCCAGATCCCGCCTGCGACCCAGAGGCCTCGAAACTCTCATGGGACATGCCCCACGGCCCCTTTCAGTGCCCCTGGGTAGCCGCTTCCCTGCCTGCAGCCTGGAGGCCTGACTTAGGCCAGCGCACGCCGTCCGGCCCCGCGGTGCCCCACACTGACTACATTGCCTCTCCCCTCAGACTGTGTGCGGAGGCCTCCACCCCCACACCTCTGCTGCTGGGACCACACCAACCCTACCTGCGGGCTCGGCCTGTTCCTGCCCCTGGAGCCTCTCCTGCCTTTCAGGGCCTCACCTGGCCCTCCAGGTGCCCCCAACCACAGCTGACCGCACCCCTGCTCTCCCACGGCGAGTCTCTGCTCCCGAGGCACACCCTCCCATGACTCCAGGTGTCTACACGTGACCACCTCATCCCAAAGCCACCTCCCAGAGGCAGGAGTGTCTCCTCCGCTCTAGGCTCAGCTGTGCAGAACGGCGTAACCCCAGGGCAGACGCCGTGAAGGCCAGCAGCGGACCCTGCCACCTGATGCGGAGGGACCCAGCAGCTCACCTGCTTCAGGCACTGCAGCAGGACACGGAAGAGCAGGGAGTAGGGCAGGGAGCCAAGCCGCATGGCGGGGCCTGCAGGCGCAGGACCAGGTGGCCCCGTGGGAGGTGACAGGGGACCACTGGCCTTCTTCTCCGAGACTCTCTCTGGCTCCCTATGGAAATGAGCGAGACGAGCACTGAGGCCAAGGCTGCGGGCGCCCTGCGGGACACCCCTCAGCTCCACGGCCCAGGGCTGGGGGACACAGCTGACACGCACATGGCATCGCAGACGCAGTAAGGGCTGAACCTCACGGCCCCGTCCTTGCTGGGCAGGCCGAGGCGGTGCAGCGAGTCGGCCCTCAGCAGCAGTAGGAAGTCAAAAGCCTGCAGACAGAAAGAGATCCAGCAAAGCCAAGATGACGCCAGCCCGTCCACTCACACTCATGCATCCCTGGGAAAGGCCCTGCCCGCCGACAGCAGACACGTGCCACCCCACCGTGTCCGCAGCAGCGTGGGGGGAACCACACGGGCGTTCATGGTGCCCGGGGAGGCCCGCAGTTCCCGCTGTGGCTGGGCCGCAGTGTGGCCTCATGCCAGGGCAGCTGGGCCTGTGGCCAGGACACGGGGAGGGCACGCCCCACACCCCGGCTGGGCAGCACCACCCGGCTCCAAGGCCAGAACTTGGACTACAGGACTGCTCAGGCCCCATCGCTTCCTCCAGTGAACGACAGGTCACGTAACCGGGCTGCCCAGGTGACGGGGGCTGCCTCACCACACACAGGCTCTAGAAGGGACCAGGTCCCCCATCCCAGTGACCTCCACTCAGCCTGGTGCCAACACCCACAACGGCAGCCCCAGGGGAGACAGGGCTGTGCGCCACCTGAAAGCGGTGTCGTCCTGCCTCGGCCCCTGCCCCCAGCCGCCTCGTGGCTCAGACCGGCAGGTTTGGATGCACACAGACTGCAGAGGGAGGAGGGATGGTCTGGACCACCGGCCACCTCCCCGGCATGAGGTCACTGTGGTCACCACCAGGACCCCAGGAAGCTGCCCACAGCCTGAAGTGCAGCCGGAAGGACTACAGCCACTGACAATCCCCCGGCCCCTTCATACCTGCAGCCGGATGCTACTGGCGATGGGCAAGGTATAGCTATGCTTGTAGTGGAGCTGGATGTGGCTGACGAGCGTCTCGTACACGCGCATCGCATGGCTGGCAGGCAAGGTGTACAGCTTGGTCTACAGAGAGAGCATGCCGGTCACTTGGAGGGCAGAAGGCTGAAAGGCAACCAGGGAGCTCAGGACAGGGACCAGCAGCCCCGCAGTGACTGGGCTCTCTGGAGTGGCTGCTGCTCTCTAGAATGCACTAAGCCTTCAAGCCACTAAGTCCGCCCCAGGGACTTCATCCCAGGATACTTCCACGTGCACACTCTCGGTTACGGCAAAAAAAAAAAAAAAAAAATCAGGAACACGTTCATGTCCATTACAGAGAATCTGCTGATACATCAGGAAAATCTGTCTAACGGTGCACGACTTAGCAGGACGTGCCACGTGACCCACGAGCTGAAAGCACATTCTCCCAGCCACTGGCAGAGCAGGACAGACCAGGGACAGGTGAGGCCCCAGGGTGCTGGGCAGGGGGCTTGTAAGCGGGCCATCCACCCAGTTGCTGGGCTGCCGTCCCTGCTGCGAGCTCCTCCCTACCCCACCTTCCCGACAGGTGAGCCCAGGAGATGCCAGGTAAGACCCTGGGCGGGGGGGGACTGTGGGGTGGGACGGGCCAGCCAGGAGCAGAAGTAAGGAGTCCAACCACAACCAGAGGGACCCCTCTGTGGTCTGTGGTACTCCTGAGGCGAGCAGCAGGGCCTTAAAACCTAAGTCACTGCTATTCTTAAAGAAATATTAACCAAAAAAAAAAAAAAAAAAAACTGGAGGAGGGAAAGGAGTTGGACACAAGGCTCGGGCCGATTCGGCAAGGGCAGCAGGGCACCTGGCAGGAAGGACGGACGGATTCCAGCTCTGAGCTGCGTCCACGCTGCCTGCATGTTTCAAGCGGGTACACGGATTATTTTTTAATTATGTAAAATGAGCAATGAAACCGCCTGGCCTGGGACTTTGCCTCAGCAAACAGCTTGGTTCTGGGGTTCCTGCTCCTGGGGCACTGGAATCCAAGTGAGGGCGACAGACCACCCTCCTGCTTCCCTGCGGCAGGGGTCTGGCTTGCTCAGGCCCTTGTGCTCCTCCTGTCAGAGGACTAGTGACGGGAGCCATGGGGGGCCGGCCAGCTTTCCGCAAACACTTCAAACTTCCACCAGGAAATAACCATCACTTGCAAGTGCTACGAGAAACTATGTATCCTCAGACGTTTTACAGACAGAAATGTTTGAGGCAAAGGATTCAAATCCTAAGTGATAGGGACCCCTGGGGGGCTCAATGGTTGAACATCTGTCTTCGGCCCAGCGCGTGATCCCGAGGTCCTGGGATCGAGTCCCACATCGGGCTCCCTGCATGGAGCCTGCTTCTCCCTCTGTCTGTGTCTCTGCCTCTCTCTGTGCATCTCTCGTGAACAAATAAATAAAATCTTTAAAAAATAAAAATGCTAAGTGATACTGACACTGGCGAGTGAGGGTGAGTGACAGTGTGACACTTTGAAATCAGTGAGAGGCAGGGCGGCCAGCAGCAGGGCCCAGGTGGAGGCTGGCCGGGGGTGTGATGGGAGGTGGCCACAGCCCCAGTGACCCTCAAGGGCCCATGGGTGCCCAGGAAGCCAGCTGTGCAGCAGGAGAGTGAGCACGGTGCCACAGCAACCCGGCATGGAGAGCACACACCAACCCTCTGACCACGGTCTCACCCACGATACACCAGGTACTCTCTCTGCTCAACGAGAAAACAGATGACCTCCGTAAAACATGAGCAGCGGATCTGAACACACTTCCCCAAAGAAGATCTACAAACAGCCAGCAGGCACCTCACCAGGTGCTCGTCACACTCATCAGACCACAGTGAGCACCGTTTTACGCACAATGGGAGGCGTACTGGTGAGGACGCGGCACACGCACAGCCACACACACTGCTCCTGGGGATGGAGTGGCCCCGCAGAGACCGCCTGGCCATTTCTCGAATCAGTAAGCACAGGGCTACCATCTGACCCAGCAAGTCTGCTCATACCTGTGCACCCAAGAACAAAAACCTCCCTCCGTCCACACAGACACTTGCACACGGATGTTCACCGCAGCAGGGTTCCCAGTAGCAGAAGGTGGACACCTGGTGTCCATTAGCACATGAACGGATACGTAAATATGGCAAATCCACACAAGGGACTAGGGTCCGTACAAGTGAAGCCCTGACACCTGTTACCACACAGGTGAGCCTTGAAGACCCGATGCTCAGAGGAAGAAGCCAAACACACACAAGCACATACTGTCCGAGTCCATGGTTGTGAAATGTGCAGAAGAGACAAATCTGTGAGATGCAGTGGACTGGCGGTCGTCAGGGGCCGGGGTCCCTGGGGGGCTGGGGAGGGACTGCTAAAGGGTGTGGAGTTCCTTCTGGGGAATGAAGGCGTTCTAAAGCTGCAGTGATGGCCACACAACTCTGAAGATACTGAAAAATCCACTGAATTACACGCCTGAAGTAGATGAATCCTCGATATACGAATTACCTCTCTCAACAAAGCCTTTGACGTCATCCCTCAAGTATGGGGCCGGGATGGATGGCCGCCCTCCACGCCGCAGCGGCTGTGTGAGGGTGAGGGGGTGGCCCGGCCCGGGGCTTATCTGCGTGCGCTGGCCCTACAGCCCTCACGAGCTTCCCACACAGCGACGAGCAGTCAGGATGACACCTGGCCGCCCTCTGCGGCCCCCAAAGAGTGCCCAGGTCTCCCTGGTGACGTGTCCCTGCAGAGCAGCGTTCTGAGAGGCAGCTGGTTGGTGCGCCCTCCCAGATAAGCAGAGGCCCACCTGAAGAATGACCAGGAGCCCCAGGACGGCAGTCTTCACGTCCTCTAAGGAGGCTGAGTACGCCGCCACATCTCTTTCCTCCAGCTCAGGGGGTGGAGAGAGAGAGCGGGCAATCACCTGCAGAGAGAAGGCAGGCGTTCAGCTCCCCGCTCGCGGCTCCCTGCGGCAGCAACACTCAGACCCTAAGCTTTGTCTTATCTCGCAAGAGCTGCACTTTACACACCTAGGAACCACTCACAAAACATGATGTATTTCAAAGTTAAAAGAAATACATCAGCTGCAGCGCAAGCCCGGCCACAGCCCTGGCAACGCCGTCCTCGCTGCAGGGAGCCCTGCCTGAGATGCAGCCGACCGCTCTGCAGAGAACGGGGATGGAGGGCCAGGAGGCCGTGGTGCCTGCCTGCAGGGCTTCGCCACAAACAGGGGTCCCTCTGGCAGCCCAGGCACCCAGAGCCCGCGCTTCTGCGGCCCTCACCTTTTCCACAATGTCCAACAGACTGTTGAAGTGGTGGGTGTGGCAGCCTTCGGCCAGGTCCACCAGCAACTGGGTGGCCAGTTTCCGGACTTGGGGGTCTTTGTCCTCTGGGACGTGGGAGAGCTGTGAGATGACCACCGAGCTGATCAGCTCCTCCTGTGGCGGCACAAGTTGGGGGAGGTAAGCCTCGCGCAGCACAGGTGGGCAGCTCCAGAGGGACGCTCTGCACGGCCCCCTGGTGGCCCAGCCCAGGCCCCGGCCCACAGGCCCATGCGTCCTGGCTCGCTCCGGCCCGCTCAACGTCACCATCAGGAACAATCCCACATGGCGGGGCCCTGTGTGTGTGCACTGGGGCAGAAGACCTTGTCCCCGACATCATGGGGTCTGTTGTAACAGGCAGCATGACAAGAGCTTTCAGGGGCAGGTAGAAAGCTCTACAGCAGCAGAGAGCAGGACAAGATGGACCCTGCCATGAGGGAGCTGAGAACCCAGAGGGGCTTCCTGGAAGAGGCAACACTGAGCTGGATTCCAAGGGACAGAGATGCAGGAAAAAAGGCAGGCTAAGAGGGAAGCAGTGGGCAGACAGGTGCTGGGAACACCGGAGATGCCAGGGAGGCCACCCTGAAGCACCACACAGAGCCTGAGGAAAGGGCACACAAACGTTTCTAAAGCACAGACTCTGGTCACAGCCCAAGGAAAGGATGGGCTGAAGAGAGGCAGGCCAGCCCTGGCACCACCGTGGTCGAGCCGGGACCAGAGAGTGTGATCACAAAAGCAAAAAGAAAATGTCCCCACATGAGACTCTGTTCAGAAGCTCTGTTCTAGGCCCTGAGCTGGCCCGAGATCCCGGGGTGGGGGGTGGGCGGGGGGTGGGAACAGAGGCTCGCGGCCCAGCAGGGGCCTGGAGGAAGGAAGGCCCCAGTGCACGAACAGGGAGCCAGCCACAGAGGGGCGCTTGTGGGACCCCGAGTCCAGGGCAGACCCTGGAGGCTCGCAGAGCCTACCCTCGAGCCCCCTGCCCCCAGGGCATGCGCCCTCCGCACCCCCACCAGGACCCGCACCTCATAGAACTGCCTGTTGATGAGCAGCACGAAAGACAGGACGTCCAGCACCTTGATGCGCACAGCACTGCGAGATTCGTTCCTGGGGGCAGGGCACACCTGCTGGGGCCGTGTGGGCAACGGGCCACCTCGTCCTCCACCAGGCTCCGGCTTGCCCGGCAGCCCGAGTCCAGGCCCGCTCGCCTCTGTGGCAGGTGCGGCCCAGCTTGCCAACACCCACACCAAACACGGGGCGGTGGGGCAGGGAGCTCAGGCCTCAGAGACAGCGTCTTCCCAGACGCCTGCTCCACAAGAAGACGCGCAGGGGCCTCAGAGGACTCCGTCCTACTGGAAAACCAGCCTGCACCTGCTCCTTCCAAGGACGAGAGAGGAGGAGCCTGACTGACCAGGCCCCAGCTCCAGGCCCCCGAAGGCTCCCTACCTGAAGAACCTCTCCATCAGTAACTGCAGGTTCTGAATCCAGCCATCCTTCGCCGGGTGGATCGACTGAGCCCGGTACGTTATTAAGTTTAAGAGGGAAGACTCCTGGAGACAGAAACAGCTTGGCGTTAATGAGCGGCTCTGCCCGCGAGAAGGTTTTCCTATGCTCATGCCCCGTGCTGCTGGCCCCGGGGGCGGAGCTTGCTCAGGGATGCCAGATAGGCCAGGCCAGGTGGGCAGAGCCCATGACCAAGGCTCCAATGGCAGATTAAGAATTCATTTAAAAACCCACACTAGGGGGCAGCCCCGGTGGCCCAGAGGTTTAGTGCCGCCTTTGGCCCAGGGCCTGATCCTGGAGACCTGGGATCGGGTCCCACATTGGGCTCCCTGCATGGGGCCTGTTGCTCCCTCTACCTGTGTTTCCGCCTCTCTCTCTGTCTCATGTCTCTCATGAATAAATAAAATCTTTAAAAGGAAAAAAAAAACCACATAAGGGACGCCCGGGTGGCTCAGCGGTTGGGTGCCTGCCTTTAGCCCAGGGAGTGACCCCAGGGTGCTGGGACCAAGTCCCGCATCAGGCTTCCTGCAGGGAGCCTGCTTCTCCTCCTGCCTGTGTCTTTCCCTCTCCCTCTCTTTCTCTCTCTCTGTGTCTCTTGTGAATAAATAAATAAAACCTTTAAAAAAAAAAAAAACCCACACGAAAGCCTTGGCATCAGACTGTGCGTTGCTGGCACAAGCGCTCCGTGCCGCCCGGTGAGCAGACGCACCAGGCAACAAGTCTCCACGCAGCCGGCAGCACCTTCCCCCGCGCAGGTGGGAGGGAGTCGCCGGTTAGGCTAGCACCGTCCCTAACAGACCCACACGCAGTTGGCCTGCTGACGCCCGGCAGACTTCCCTGCCGCAGCACACACCCCAGCAAAGCAGAAGCCTGCCAGCCCTTTGGTTCAAACTCAAGGAGAGCAGTTCCAGACCCACAGCCGCTTGCCCAGCAGCCTGACCTAAAACCCCTAGCAGGAGCAGAGGGCCCCGGCCAAGCCGGGGGAGCAGAGGTCTTACCGGCCTCTGGTCTGCACATCGCTCAACCAGCTCAAAGTATCTCTCCTGAGAGCCGTGGAACTCATTCTGATCACACAGCTCTTCCACTGTGGTCAGCAGGTCGTGCACGATGGCTCTGAGCTCCGGGCTGTCCAGGGTCTGTAACACAGTGACATCCACTCCCCTCAAGGACTGGGTCTCAGAGCCCTGAGCTCACACGAACTGCCTCCAAACACCGCTCAGGCCTTCCCGCTGGGACATGGGGTGGGGGGAGGCAGCAGCCAGGCTGCTCTCGCTCATCTGGTGAGGGAGGGCCCCAGGGAGTCCCACTATGCCCACCCAGCAGGCCCCAAAGGGGCTGACTTTGAGCACGTTCACGCTTCCCCCAGGCTCAAGCATCTTCTAGAGGCCCCAGGGCTGTGACCAGCCAGCCTGCCGCCCCAGGAGGAAGCTAGCCTGGGGAGCCAGGCTGAGCGACAAGAGGCTGGTCCCTGCTGAGTTCCAGTCCTCCGCCCACTGGCCTGGCCGTGCACACTGGCCACCCCAGTGCCCCGGGAGACCCAGCCCCAAGCCTATGCTACACACAGCCTCATCTGTCTGCACCCCTGCATGGCCACCATGTCCTCCTTCCTATTGTGGCTAGTACTTCCTCCGAAGCTACGCCAAAGCCACGGGCAGCATCCTGGATGCGCTGGGAGCTGTCTCCAGGGTCCACTCCCAGGCCACAAAGGGGAAGTGTGTATAACTCTTGGTCTTGAGAACCGCCAGCCCTGCCCCTGAACCCCCCTAGGTATTGCTGCTCCAAACCCCAGAGCGGCCTTGTGAAGGCCGGCCCCCTGTACTGACCGGCGGGAGGATGCAGACATGAGTCAGAGTGCACAGCGCAGGGGCCTCCTCTGGGTGAGTGGGCCTGCCAGCCCGCTGTCAAGGCCCTCCCGGTGCCTCACCTGGAGCTGGTGCAGGAGGCGCTCCATGATGTTCAGTAGGATGTCCCAGGTCACAGCTTGCAGCTCCCTCCGGTACTTCTTGATGAGTCTGGTTATAGAGAGGACGATTTCATAGGACACCACCTCATTCGGACAGGTCATGGCCTAGAACAAGAGACCCAGAGAACACACAGTGGTCAGCCACTTCCCACTGCTGCCCAGCAAGCCCCATCCCACGGCCCTCAGAGCTGAGCACGAGATGCCTTGGAGGGGCTTGCTCCCCACACGGACCTCAGGGGCCACAGAACTATCTTAGGAGCCCAGAAACACACTTTCTACACTGGCTTCAAAGTGCTGGACTCGGGCAGCCCGGGTGGCTCAAGCGGTTTAGCGCCGCCTTTGGCCCAGGGCCTGATACTGGAGACCCAGGATCGAGTCCCACGTTGGGCTCCTTACATGGCGCCTGCTTCTCCCTCTGCCTGTGTCTCTGCTTCTCTCTCTCCTGTGTATTCTCAGAAATAAATAAATAATTAAAAAAAAAAAGTGCTGGACTCCGCCGGACCGGACCGTTCACGGCAGATTCTGGGCCACCGGCTCACCTGGACGCTCCTCGCTCCACTGCCACGAAGCAGGAGCTTGGCAGGAAGAACCAGTGGCTCCAGCCTGGGCGGCTCCCAGGCACACATGCTACATCTCGGGCCTTGCTCTAGAGCAAGAGCAAGACTAGCACTTAACAAAATGAAACCATCCCCAGCGGAAATCTTTTTTTTCTTTTTTAAAGATTTTATTTATTTATTCATGAGAGATAAAGAGAAAGAGAGGCAGAGACAGAAGCAGGCTCCATGCAGGGAGCCCGACGTGGGACTCGCTCCCGGGTCTCCAGGATCATGCCCTGGACTGAAGGCGGCGCTAAACAGATGAGCCACCAGGGCTGCCCCTTCTGCTTGAAGATTTGAACCAAGGGTCCTAAACCTTGCCCCAAGTTGCAAAGCAAGGCCTCGCTGCCCACAGGCCTGCACTCAGCCCCCCAGTGCTGTGGGCCCCCCACCCCGCCAGCCTCTGTGGCCCACAAACCAAGTCACCTCATAAAACGACGGCAACACAGACGTTGGGGAGTTCTTGAGAGAGTAGAGTCGGTGTGCTCCCCAAAGGGCCATCCCCACAAAGAACACAGCCCCTCTCAGCAGTGGGGCATCTTCCATGTAGGCTCTAGAAGCAATCCACAGCAAGACCACATGTCAGCGAAGCCCGCACCACCTCCCTGAGCTCCCTGCTCTCATGGGCAGAGGCAAAGCTGGGGAAGAGGCGGTGGGCAGGGGACCCGGGCCTGAGCAACGACCCGATCCACTCATGCACTCCCGCCACAGTCAGTCCTGCTGCCACAGGGCCATGTCAGATGCCAGGGCATGAAGTAAAAGCAAGCCATCAGCCTCATGGTGCTCGAGGTCTAGGAAGCACGGATGTGAACCAAAGAACCATGTAAGGAGATGTCAGGTGCCTCCCTCAGGTTACAGCAAAGAACGAGAGCCCCGGGCCATGAGGATAACCTCCCCAGGGCGCTCAGGAAATGAGCAACCATGCTACATCAGCACGCACTCAGACAAACAAGCACAGCAGAAGGACGTGCCAGCCAGGGGAGCAGGTGTGTGCAGAGGCCTTGGGTGGCTGGCACAGCAGCTAGGACAGGCGGGAGGCCCACAGGCTGAGGCAGGGCTGGCTGCCCGGGCCTTGCCATGCTGGGCACTGTGGTTCTGATCCTCAGGGCAGGGGGAGCCATCACGGCTCCAAGCAAATGGTGCCACGGTCAGATCAGTGGTGGGAAAAGGTCATGTGGCTGCTGCGTGGAATGGATGCCAGGAGCTCAGGAGCAGGTGCAGGAGACCAGCAAGGAGAGCGTGGGGGTCCAGGGGGCCGGCCCTAGGAGTGCACAGCCCTGAGCCACCCCTCAAGGGCAGAAGCAACAGGACCTGTGATGGTCTGGCCGTGGGACAGGAGGCCTCGGGCCTCCTACCAGCGTCAGCACTGACACAGGCCCCCTGGAGGAGGTCCGAGTGTGGGAGGGCTTATGGGGCTCAGCTCTGAATGTCCTGACTTCACAGCAGGAGGAGAGCACAGGAATCAGGCACAGAGCACATAGCTGTAGCTGCAGAGCAGACTTCTGGAGCAGCCACCCCAAAGGGACAGAAAGCTCTCGGCTACCCCCGCCGGGCATGGGCCCACATTGCAAGCCTCCGGAGGAGCCTCGGTGGCAGCCGACCCGTGCCCCGAACCCGCGCACACTCGCCTGTCCTCCATGATGCGACACATGTTGTAGATGGCACTGTGGCCCAGGTGGGTGCCCAGCAGGTTCCGCATCAGCTGGGAAACAAAATGTACCGCCCTGAGAGAGGGGCAGATACCGGCCCAGGACCCGGGGGCCAGCCTCGTGCCGCCATCGCCCGGAAGCCCTCCACGTCCAGCCGGCTCTCTGCCACCCCCTCCCAAACACAGAGTTTTCAAAATGCTAAAACCCTGGCCTCAGCTCAGCCACCTGGAAAATGCTACTGGGCTCCCCTCAGCAGGACACACAGCCATTCACCCTGGCCATTCACAACACGGCCCTCGTCCCAGCCACATGCTTTTAACGTCACCCTGGAGGGAAGAAGCCTCCAGGGCAAGGCCTAGACCCCCACCTTCCAGCAAGGCTCACAGAGCTCCTTCACGTTGATGGTGCGGCACAGGGTGACAATGAACAGGGGGAGGCTCTCGGCCGGCAGGCAGTTGTAGCAGACGACGGCGTCCAGCACCTGCAGGGAAACCTGGTGGGGGGGACGAGGGTCACGCCAGCCCTGCCCCGCCTCCCGCCCGCAGCAAGGGGACACCCACAGCCTCCCTCCCACCCTGCTTTGGTTGCTGTCGCCCCTCCCCCTTGCCAAAGCAGCCTTCCAGAGAACCAGAGGGGGAGAGCACCACTGTCACGGAGGCTCATGCCATCCTGAACTGTGACCCCACTGGCAGAGGTCGTCCAACCAACCACTTACTCCAGAGCCCTGAGCACCAGGGAGGCAGAGCCGCCAGCCCGGGGCCCCACGACCAGTGAAAGGCAGGGCAAGGCTAGACCCCAGAGCCCCAGGTTTCACGCACCCCCCGACCAGGCCTGCCCAGGAGGAGGATGAGAGGGACCGTCCCTGGGGAGGACCAGCTACAAACCTCTATGTCCACGGATGACACGGTCTGGACGCACAGCAGGCAGATCATGCTGGTGGAGGAAGGGCAAAGTCAGCGGGAGGTTTCCCAGAGGCCTCATGGCCGTATGTCGCGCTCTGGTGACTCTACAATCATCAAGCAAGAGGCTCGACCCCCTTTGAGCTCCACTCACCCCCAGACAGTCAGGTGCCCACTCTGGGCCACCGCTGCTCAGTGCTGGCTGTGCAACACCAGCAACGACCAGCCCCTACCCTCACGCCTTCCGCAGCGTTTGAAAGAACGGCCCCAGAGATGATAAGAAGCGCTAGCTAACGTTATGGGTCCGTGAGAAAGAAAACGCTATCGTTCTATCAACGTGAGCAAGAGGCAGCCACACTGCTCCCAACTTCTCCATTTGCTTGCTGATGTCAATAGCTTTATCCACGCTGCGGAGCTACACGCGGCGCCCAAGGAGCACGACTACCACCAGAGGGACGTGATTGGAACTCTTCTTACTGGACCATTGATGCAATGTACTCATCCAGGTAACAGCTGTTGAACTTGACCAAGTTCACAAGCACCAGGAGGAATTCGGAGGACAGGCCGATGTCCATCCACTGCAGGACAAACCCAGCTGAGGGGGAAGAGTAGGAAGGCACTGTACTGTCTACTCACCTCCTCCCCAGGAGAACACCGCAGCTCCCCCGCTGCTGTCCCGTCAGTGGACCCCACGCACAGGCCGACGGAGGCTCGGCTGGAGCCCCAGCGAGTCAGCCTGTCATGGACTATGGCACGTACAGCCCCCAGGACGCGCTGAGGGGGTGTAGGCTGAGGGGCAGCCTGGGGCCCCAGGCCTGGGCTGGGCGAGCATCCTCGGGCACATGTCTAGACACAGATTCCTGCCCCCCTACCCCTCCCTGACACTGTCTCAACAGAGACAGAAGCCACGCTTGGCCACTGGCCAAAAAGCCTTAGAAACCTGGGCACAGTCGGCCAGTGAGCACCTGTCAGAGCCAGGCGGCCAGCTGAGGCCATCTCCGGGCCCCAGAAGTCCTTCTTCCTGCGCCCACAGCCATGACATGGAATCTCAAGACCCACGGATACGTCACCCCATCGGGACAACAGGGAGGAAGGCCAGCCAAGGGGAGGGCTGGGAGGTCAGGCCTGGGGCACAGAGAGGCCCGTGAAGAAGACACAGTGGGGCGCCCCAGATAAAGCACGGGCTGACACCTGGGTCGCCAGCATGCTCTCCCTACAGCAGGACTCGGACCACCTGCTGCCCACCAGGCGGTCTCACTCCACAGGGATTCTGAGCCTGCAAGTCTGGGCTGGAGACCAGGACTGTCTGTCTCTAACAGGCTCCCCAGGAGCCGCTCTGGTTGGCACTCACGTGAGCAGGACCTCATGGTGCCGCGCCCCCTGCAGGCCGTCCCCATGACCTGCAGCACATCCTCTGTGCCCGGCGGCCTTCTGGCGCCTCCGGGTTAAATGGGACCCCCCAGGCCAGAGAAACCTCACACCAATGTGGCACCCACCCAGTTCTTCTTCCAAGTAGGTGATGTGTCTCCCATTGTCTGTGAGGGCCTTGAAAACTTCCAGTCTTTCATGGAGGTCTTCGTTAGCAGGGTAATCCTTGATGGCCCTAAAGAACAGAGCCCGGAGAACGCCCAGGCGGTCCCCCTGCAGACAGAGGCGCTCCTTTAGTCCTGCCAGCACCCCCGACCAGCTGTGAGCAGTCCAAGAAGTACAGTGGGCTCCCTTCTCCCTCCCACAGGAACTGACTGTGAGGGACACGTCGGGCACGTCGGAGTGGCTCCAGATAAGGGGTGTGCGTGTGTGCAGCATCTACTGTGTGGGAGCTCTGGGCACGGAGTGGACACAGCAGGGACAATGCAGTCCCAGCCCTCCCAGGGCTCCTGGCCAAGAACAGACATCCTCATGTCCACCAGGACAAAAATGGTCTGACTGCACTAAAAGAGGACAGGCCTCTCCGAGCAGCAGGGGTGTGGACAAGAGGGAAGGGAGCCTCCCAAGCAGGAACGGAGGGGCCACCTGCGGTTCTAGAAGCTCAGAGCAGCATGGCCAGAGCCTGGCGCACAGGGAGCCACAGGCAGAGACCCAGGGCAGGGGCATGAGGGCAACAGGACTGGGGAACCACCCATCTCTCGTGGGCACGTCCCCCATTGTTTTGCATGAACGGATTCATCTACTCCCCAAGACGTTCCAGAGGAGGAAGGAACAACAGGCATTCCCATTCTACGGGAGAGGAGGCGGAGGCTCAGTGACTCCCACCAGGGTCCGAGAGGCTGCGGGGCACACTCCGGCTGTCTGCGGCCCCCCGGGACCACCCCTCACGGCCAGCCCAGCTCCACCAGCGCACGGCCCCACCGCCCATTACCTGCCCCTGCACGATGGCCTTCAGCAGCGCCAGCACCGCATGCCGGGCCTCGGGGGGCCGCTCCGGCTGCAGCAGGTCCGCGACGGCCTTCCAGAGCGCTTCCACTGCATGCTGCCGCCGGCGAAGAACAGCGGTGAAGGCATGCTGGCCCCCTCGACTCGAGGCTCAGCACCACGAGCCAATGACAGAGCAGGACGCTTCTTCTTAGAACTCCCTCCCCAGAGCCCCCCACTGCCCCTGCCCCTGTGGACCCGTCACAGCCCCCATGACCCTGAGCCTGACGAGGGGAATGACTCCAAACTACTTCAAACCCATGCAGGTCCTGGCTACAGGCCGGGGGGCAGCGGGCCAGGGGAGCTGTCCTGGCTGCCCCGTAGAGGTTGGCCAGGGGTCCCCCTTGGGGGTTGGCTCAGACTCAGGGAAGAAAGCCACTGAAAGAGTCTCAGGACCAGGCGGTCCCTGGGTCTGCAGCCTGACACAGAAACCCCACTGCCCTGGCCTCCCGCTGTGGAAGCACACCACACGTCTGCTGCGCCTGTGCTGCCCAGAATTCGCATGGCCTTCTGGAATCTGCCTCCCCTAAGCCCCACACCCAGGGGGTAGCTGGGTCCTGTTCCCCACAGCCACCCCGAATCAGTCTCTCATGCCACCTTCTCTTCACGTTAACCATCCCATGCCCCCTTCAACCTGGGTCTTCAGACCACTCAACCTTTCCTGGGCTCACTTTTCCCAAGAAGGAACTAAAAAGTCCTTTAGATGTTGCCTGACTGACCATGTTCAGGATACTCTGGAACTTTCACCTCCTTTGTCCCATGCACAACACTCCTGGTGACACAACGTAACCCCTGACAAGATGCAGACACCGACCCGGTGGACTCTGACAGCCTCTCAGGCTCACCTGTCCATCGGCCACAGGCCCCCCTCCTGTACCTACACAGGCAACTTTACAGACATGGGTGCCTACTCTCACCTCTATCCTTGATACCATAGAGCCTGCATGTTTCAGGTGACCTGCGATGTCGTGCATGCTCTCCCCTCCCCCTTAGCAAATCCCAATCCGCTCGTTCCATGTCCCCTCCCGAGTTGCCCATACGAGCTGGGGGCCAGACTAGAGCAGAGTCCTGCAGGTGATCTCAGGACCACTTCCTGGTCTGTCTTCCAGATGCCCGGAGAGGGCATGCAAACACCTGACCGAAATAAACACGCTCACGTCTGTGGGGCTGCTCGATGCCACCAGCCAGACACCACTCCCAAAGAGACACCAGAAACAGCAGGCCTGGAGTCAAACGGCTTCCTGATGTACCCTTACCTTCCCTGTAACACGAAAAGACCAGTGAGCACGGCTTTCTGTGAGTCACTACAGACGCTTTGTCGGAACTGCCAGGAAAGGCTTCATCCCTCTACTCCCCACCCCTGCATGTGATGGACCCCAAAGGGTTGGGCTCAGCGCATTTGCAGAAGCTTCCCCATCACTAAGATGCAGGTTAAGCTTCCCTAAAATGGAGCGTGAGTTAGCACCAGCAGGCAGCTGCCAACCCAGCTCCTACAAAGAGCCATCAGACTCCTCGACAGCAGTCAAACGAGGCAGACCTACCTCTTCAAATTTCTTCGTTTTTGCAACTTCGCAGATCTGCCCTATCATCCGGATGCGATTGTTGATGCCGCATTCAACACTCAGCTCCTGGCAAGAGACAAAGGGAGAAAAGGGGCCAGCGCTCAGGCAACAGGGCTCCTGAACCGCCAGTCACAGACCACCCCGAGGATCGTAGCGTGTCTCCACGCTGCAGACTTGCCGCGGATCTTTCTGCAATCAGGGATCACCAGGGTTTATGGTCCCGTCTCAGCTGAGAACACTCGGCTTCTTTCTTTCTTTCTTTCTTTCTTTCTTTCTTTCTTTCTTTCTTTCTTTCTTTCTTTCTTTCTTTTCTTTCTATTTATTTATTTAATGATAGTCACAGAGAGAGAGAGAGAGAGAGAGGCAGAGACATAGGCAGAGGGAGAAGCAGGCTCCATGCACCGGGAGCCTGACATGGGATTCGATCCCGGGTCTCCAGGATCGCGCCCTGGGCCAAAGGCAGGCACTAAACCGCTGCGCCACCCAGGGATCCCACATTTCTTTTTATTAAGATAACGTTCACGTAAGAAAATTAGCTGTTTGGACAACTTAAAACTGTACCATGTAGCTAATAGTATATTCACAATGGCTCGCAACCAGCTCCACTAATTCCAGAATATTTCCATCACGTAAAAGGGAAACTTCACGCCCATTAGCACTCACCACCCCTCCATCCCTTCAGACCCTGAGACACGCTGATCTACTTTCCTTCTCTGTGGATTTACTTATTGTGGACATTTCATAGAAATAGAATCACACGTTACGTGGGGGCCTTTGCGCCTGGCTCCTTCTGCTTAGCGCGTTTTCAGCGTTCATCCACATTCTGGCACGTGTCAATACTTCATTCCTTTCCTTTTTTGCCAGACAATGCTCCACGGTGCGGACGTGATCACATGTCATCTGTTCACCAGCTGATGAACATTTTGGTTGTTTCCCAACGGGAAACTTTAGGAGCGCAGACACAGCGTGTATGAGACACAGGTGCCAGGATGCGGGAGAGGGGATCAAACACACGCCAGAAAACGGAGCCCTGCGAGTGCCAGGAGCTCAGGTTACCATTAACACCTGGCAACACCTGGCCATAGCCCTAATCACCTGTGCAAACGACTGCAAGCTTAGGCCACCTGGTCAAGTAGGTCTCCCTGCATCGACAGCTGGGTGCGAGCTCACGCGTACTGGACCAGGTCCTCATCGTCCTGCCTTCCTGAACCTCGGAAAGACAGGCGGACAGGCTTCCCCAGCCCCGCGCCAGCCGCATGCCAGCCTGCCCGGCAGCTCACTCACTCTCAGGATGTCCGCCGTGATGATGAACTCGGTCTGCTTGCCCTCTGCTGACCTGGGGTTTGGCCTCGGGGTTCCCAGTCCCAACAGAATCCTGAACTTCTCCTTCAGGCCTGAGTCTTTGCTCGTAGGCTTGGCCATGGTGGGCAGGGACGCGGCGAGGCCGCCTCTGCGCCGAGGAAACAGGCAGAGGTCTCAGGAGCAGCGCCCGCGAAGCCGGGTCTGCGCGCACGCCCCGCCCGCGGCCCCAAGGGCCTGGAGCACCGCCGGCGGCCCGGCAGCAGCGGGCCGGGGAGGGGCGGGGACCCGGGCGGCCCCTCGCACCCGCTCCGCCTTACAGCCCGGGGGGCCCGCGGCTCCAGGCTCCGGCGGCGGTGGGCGCGGCCGAAGGCCCGGGCCGCCACTGACAGCGCGGGGTCCACCCCCGCGCCGCCGCCGGAAGCTCGATCCGCACTTCCGGCGGCGGGCCGGGGCCGAGGGTCGCCGCCGGGCTTGCTGGGAGTCGTAGTTCCGGGCTGCTCTCCGGCGGAAAGGCAGGGGGCCGGAGGGGGCGGGGCGAGAGTCGGGTCACGTGGCGGGGCCGCGGGGGCCGCCGGGATGTGTAGTCCGCGGGACTCTGGCTTGAGCATGGCCGCCGTGAGGATGATGACCCGGAGCCGGGGGCCAGGAGCCGCACCGCGGCGGGGTGGGGAGGAGGCGGCCCCGCTCCAGAGGCGGGAGGCGGCTGCAGGTACCCTCGCGCCCGGATCGGGGCATGGGGAGAGGCGACGGAAGGAGCCTGCCGGGGCCGGCAGCTGGGAATCCGAGTCGCCCCCACGTGGGGCTCTGGCTCCCACCCTGCCCCCTGTGCCCAGGACGCAGGGGCAGGGGTCGGTCCACACGGACCGCGTCCCGGTACCCGCCCGGGGATGCTGCACTCGTGCTAGGCTTCTGGGGGCAGGCCAGCCTTGCTCTCCTGGCTGCTTCCCGCGGGATGGGGGGCCTGGTGCCCAGTCCTCGCCCCCGCTTGGGTACCGGGAAAGGGCGCGCCATTCTGTGTATTGTGCAGGTGTGAAGGACCTGGCTGTACAGGACTGGGGGGGGGGGGGCAGTAGCCAGACCCACAGGGCCCCTGCACCCTGTCCTTCAGGACACCGGAGGGGGACTCCTTAGGCACCCAACCAACCCTAGCCCGGGACACAGCTCCATCCTGAGGGAAGCAGGGCGAGGGGAATAAGCAGATGGCAGCGCACACTGGGTAGGCAGGAGCCCTGAGGCTGGGATGAGTTTGGAGTTCGTCGGAAGTACAAGAAGTCAAAGAGGAGTTTTAAACAGACGTGACACAATCTGATTTGGGCGGTAGGACTTGCTGTCTGGCACCGTGTGGGAGCTAGATGGGGGAGGCACCCCTTCCTCCTGTTGGTAGAGTCGTCCTGTGCCGACTCAGACTCGGTCAGGAGGGCAGTGGCATCAGGAAAGCTGACCTGCCCCCGAAGCACCCACAGCTGTAGCAGATGACGGATGGTCATTGAATGGATGACGAAGGGAGAGGGCAGGCAGGGCAGCACCCACCCCCACCCCCACCCCCACCCCCACCTGTGACCCCTGCTGAATGGCACATTTTTGCAGAAGGAAAGAAAAGCCCTAGCCTTGCAAAGCATCAGCGGAAGACACAAAAACTGAAGGTGGCCTACGAAGCCCCAGGTCATGAGAAAGGAGAGAGCCACAAAGCCCTGGAGGCACTAGGCTGGGAGCCCCGGGACTGGCGGCAGCAGCTGGAGAATATCCGCACCATGAGGAGTGGGAAGGACGCCCCCGTGGACTGGCTGGGAGTTGAGCACTGCCATGACCCCAGCGCACCCCCAAAGGTAGGCAGGGGCCGCACCTGCCTGGTGGTGAGTCCCTTCTGGACCAGACACATGCCTCCTCTGAGGCCTCTGGCTGCGCACAGCCTCACCCGTGGCAGCCCTTGGCTGGCACCCGAGAGGAAGGCAGGCAGCGTGTCAAGGGGAAGCGCCTGAGGCTCCGAGCAGGGAGCAGCATCACCTGCTCGGCAGTCAAGACTGCCTGCAGCTTGGGGTTTTGTGCTCTGCCTTCTGCCAGCAGAGTCCTGACACACCAGGAGTCTTCGTAATGTTTCCTGAGAGAGGGAGAGCTCCTTACACTTCACTGGCTTGGAGCGTGGTCTTTAGACCAACTTGATCCTAATCCCAACCCCACTAGCTGGGACCTGGGTGCACGGACTTCTTTGGGCGTCAGTTTGTGTGTAAGATGTGGCCTTATCCACGGCGCCACAGCAATCACGGTGGGAGGCGCTGGCTGTCAAGCATGGCGATGATACATTTACGTCTCCAGGTGGTCTTTGTAAGGCAGGTACCGTTATCGTCCCCATGTTATGTAGAAAAAAAAAGCAAAACAAGCCTAGGCTGGACGCCTTACACAGTGCATTGGCCAGAATGGCTGGGAGGCTGTCGTGTGTTGGCCAGGGTCATGGGTAGAGGTGGTCTAGGGTTTGGCTGGGGCCTGGCCCACACTGAGCTACCTAGGACCTGTCACTGCCCTGGTTCCGGTCATTGTGCCAACAGGTGCAGAGGTACCAGGTGCTACTGTCACTGATGCTCTCCAGCCAAACCAAAGACCAGGTGACAGCAGGCGCCATGCAGCGGCTGCGCACTCACGGCCTGACGGTGGACAGCATCCTACAGACAGACGACACCACGCTGGGCTCGCTCATCTACCCCGTAGGCTTCTGGAGGGTGAGCCCACTGACCTGGGAAAGATGTCAGGAGGCTGATGGGAGGTCGTGGGGTACAGGAGGCCAGGGGTGCCTCTTAGGCCACAGGGACCCAGATGTGAGCTCCCAGTGGAGCCCCCTGCCCCTCTGGCCAGTACACGGGGCCAGGACCATTGGGCCTCCCTCCTTGGCCTTTCCTGTTTGCAGTCCACCCCTTCCTTCCTCCACCTCCCCACCCGGCTGACTGGCGCTTCCCTTCCTCCCTGAGGCTGCCCACCGCCTTTCCCTTTGTTTACTCCGGGCCTCCCTGGAGTGCGTCACCCCCTCCCTCTGGAGCCCCAATGGGCCACAGAGCGCTGGGTGGCGAGTAGGCGGGTCCGCTGAAGGCGGCCGGGCGGGTGCGGCTGCTTCCCCTTGGCACTAGTGTGGGCTGCAGTTTGTCAAATGGGTTTTAAATAGCCCTCTCCGCTTGGGCACGGAGTGGGAACCACCCAGCTGGCCTGGCGGCTGGCGGGGGAGCCCCAGGCTCCAGCCTGCCTTCCTGAAGGTCCAGGTGCTGCTGAGCTCAGCTCCTGGCACGGCTGGCCTCTGGGGGAATGATGGGGCAGGGCACCTGAGCTACACCCAACACACGAGTCACAGGTGCAGGCCCGCATCAGGCCTCCCCAGTCTCTGCTGCCCTCGGCTCACCCCCAACTCCTAGGGAGACAGGGGCACACAGGTGCCCCTGAGTGTGTCTTGAGCAGGTGACGGACAGCTCTGGACACCTGTGAGTTTCCCTTGGGACTCACGTCCTCCGGTAGGGCTACACCGTTCACCTCTGGGGCCGACCACCCCTCTCCATCTTTCAGAGCAAGGTAAAGTACATCAAGCAGACCAGTGCCATCCTGCAGCAGCGCTACGGCGGGGACATCCCAGCGTCTGTGGCAGAGCTGGTGGCACTGCCCGGCGTGGGGCCCAAGATGGCACACCTGGCCATGGCGGTGGCCTGGGGTACTGTGTCAGGCATCGGTGAGTGGCATCCACACTGTTGGAGGGCAGGGCTGGCCACATCTGTGACCCCAGGTCTGCTCCCCCACAATTTAGCTCAAAGGGTCAGAAAGATGTTTCCAGCACTGAGGTAGGCCTGGCCCACCCATGGATGAGGGCTAATGGGAGGAGTTCCCATCTGCCGAGCACCTACTGTGCACTGGGCTCTGGGAGAGGCCCTGGGCGTGGACTCAAGGCCTGTGCTGTGCAGGAAGAAAGATGTTGAGCAAATAACTGCTTACCTGTAAGGTAGAAGCGTTCGTGTGGGGGGGGGGGTCGTGCATGACAGTGTCAGAGCTGAAGAGTAAGGGCGGGCTGGCCAGGCTAAGAAGCAGAAGTGCCACCCAGGTGAGAGGAACAGCGTCTGCAAAGCCAGCAGGTGGGAAAAAGAACCAGTAGAAGAAGTCTCAAAAATGAGCATAGGCTGGTGGGGGAGACAGTAAAGGCAGGGGGACCCCAAGGGAGGAGGAGCTGGGGGGAGCCCCTTCCGGAATCCATTTCCTGATGGTGGTGGTCTCTAAAGACGGACCCTGGATCAGGGGGGCTGCTTCGTCAGACCTTTGCTCAGAATTGAGCTTCCACGGCCACGCAGCGGCAGGCCTGGCCAGCGCAGAGACCAGGGCCTGAGCCACAGCCTCTGCGCCCACCTGGTGCTCCTGCTGCCGGCGCTGCAAGAGGGCAGAGACTCCCCAGCACTTCCCCCAGTCCTAAAGCCTCTGCTCCCTGGGGTGGGGACCCTTCGCGTGGGCAGGGGGCAGCCAGGGGCTGAGGGGCCCGCCGTGAAGCCGGGCTGGAACCCAGCGGCCCCGGAGACCACGGTGGGCCCTGCGGTGGGCCCGGTAGGGGCCAGGACAGAGCTTGCCCTCCCCTCCCCCACCCACAGCCGCCAGCCTCTTGCCAGGCTCTCAGCGTGGATACTTGAGCTTATCTGGTGGCTGTCCTCGGCTGCCCGAGGCCTGAGTCCCAGGAGGGGTCTGGAAGGTCTGTGGGGGAAGGGCCCACAGCCCTGGGAACAGGACTTTGGCGGCAGCAGACACACAGGAGGGGAGTCCGAATGTCCTCCTTTCTGGATGTCTGCTCAGTTAGCAGCCCAGGGCTGTGGCCACAGCAGCCAGTGTCAGCACTGCCATCCTGTCCCCGCCGAGTGACCGAGAGGCAAGGTGCTTGCTCTCTGAGCTTCGGCCTCCAGGCTGGGAATGTATGCAGGGCAGGCAGAGCCTTCCTGGAGCTGCCCGTGGGAGCCTCCCGGTGTGGGGAGGCCCTGGGCCGGGCCTCTGAGTGGCAGGACGGAGCTGAGGCTTGGTAACCACTGTGGGCCCCCCACCCCGTGTCCCCAGGGCACCCTCCGTCAGTGTCTGGAGAGGGAGCAGGTTCAGGACTCCCTCTCTCTTCTGGAGGAGGCCCCCGTGAGCAGGTGCCAGGCCGAGCCCTGGGGTGACTGGCCCAGGGGAGCTGGGACCCTGCCCCCGCTAGGTGACAGCTGCAGCTGGCCGGTCCATCCTCCCTGTGCTGTCCCTGACCATGCGGTGGTTGTGCAGTGACCTCAAGGTGGCCTGCTGGACCCAGCCCTGAGCACCCGGCCTGGCACAGCCGGCACCTGGGCCAGGAGCTGCCGCTGCTGCCTGCCCCCCAGCTGCAGGACCCAAGGCCTCTGGCTCAGCTGCTGCCCCGCTCTCTGCAGTTCAGGGCCCTCTGGAAGCCCGGGGGTGGGAGGGGACCCTGGGCCTGGGCTCGGGGCTGTGGGCAGGGAGCTGCCCGGTAAGCGTGCCCCGTGATGACCCGGTGCTGCCTCCACCAGCGGTGGACACACATGTGCACAGAATCGCCAACAGACTCCGGTGGACCAGGACCACGACCACGTCCCCTGAGAAGACGCGCGCTGCCCTGGAGGAGTGGCTGCCCCGGTGCGACAGGGTGGGGGGTGGCGGGGCTCCCCTCTGTGTCCCTCCCACACTGACCTCCCTGCCCTTCACAGGGAGCTGTGGGGGGAGATCAACGGACTGTTGGTGGGCTTCGGCCAGCAGACATGTCTGCCCTTGCGCCCTCGCTGCGGGGTCTGCCTCAACCGCACCCTGTGCCCCACCGCACAGAGCCCGGAGCCCCTGACACCCGCGCCTGCCCCCTGATGCCCCCGCCTGCCCCCGCCGGGGAGCCGCAGCCTGTCTGTAATAAACCCTGGGGGTTGTTTGCATCGGGGTCTGGCTGAGTCTTCCTTGGGGCGCAGGGCAGGCCGGGAGCACGTGCGTGACTGCATGTGGCCCCGTGCTCATGTGAAAGGGGCTGCCTGGGAGCCCAGGCTGGGGACGTGACTGTGTGGGCCAGGGGTGGGGGTGGCAGGCATGCGGGAGTCTGGGACGGAGCTAGACCATGGGAGCCAGCTGCAGCCAGCTGTTAGGAAGGCCGCTGGAGACCTGGGCGGCTGGCTGGGAACCCAGATGGACACCCCCTCCTGCACCCTGACAGCTCTCGGCACCAGGAGGCCCCAACCTGAGGCCACGGAGCCACCTGGCCTCCAGCGCAACACCATTAGCCCCAGGCTGGGCGCCCCAGGGCATGAGACCTGCCCTGTGTGTCCCCACGGGTGGAGGCGGGAGGGGGGGTGCGGGGGGAGGGGGAGAGCAGAGCTGAGGGGTCAGGTCAGCCCCCTGGATGGAGTGGGATGGGCTCTGCTTCCAGCAACGTCTGCCTCCCTGCCCAGACCACGGGTCCCCCCCACCACGAGGGCTCAGGAAGGGTAGAGGCGGCCAGGGGTCTGAGGAAGGCCTGTTTATTCGGAGGGCGCGCATGCGCTATGGCTTACAAGGCAGACAGCAGTGTCAGTGGGGTCAGGGCCAGGAAGAGAGAATGGGTGCGGTCCCCTGGGGGCAGGCTCTCCCACGCCACACTCCCCCTGCCTGGGGCCTAGAGGCCTGTCCAGAGGGCCCCCCCCCCCCCCCCCCCCCCCGTCTTCAGGCAACCCAGGGCCTCCAGCCCAGGCCCTGCGGCCCGGACCACCAGTTCAGCAGGGACGTGGGGGCCTGCCAGGGGCCCCCCTACAGCAGGGAGGAGGCCGAGGGGCAGCTCCTCCAGCCACAGCGGGCCTCCCCAGCCTCCCCCGGAGCCCCCACAACCACAGCCTGGCCCCTCTGTTTCTGTCCCTGGAAGTGCCTGGGGCTCCCACTTGGGATGGCTGCTGCTGAGGGGTGGGGAGGAAATGGTTTGCAGAGAAAGGTTTGTTTTATTGCAATTACTTAGAGAGGCGTCCTACGGGGGTGGAGGCGGGGGCGGGACTCTGGTATTAAGTGGAAACATGTGTGGAGCTGGAGCTCTTTTTTTTTTTTTTTTTTCCTTGTTTTTGGAAGAAAAGCAAAAACAAATTCCTTGAAGTCAGCAGCCTGGGCAGAGCGGCAAGGGCCAGGCCCACGGTCACCACTGCCTCTCCCTGTCCCTCTCTAGCCTCGGGGCCCCCTCTCCCCCATCCAGCACCCTGCAGGTGGGGGTACGGGACGGGGCTCACACTGGCTCCTGGTGGTGCTGGGACCAGCACGGCGTCCGGGGGTGAGGAGGCCCCCTCCGGCCCACTGAGGCATGGGGACCTGCCGGCTGGGCCTGGGGCCGAGCGGGGGAGGCCGGGTCACCAGCAAACAGGCAGGGAGGGGCTCAGAAGTTGCTGAAGATCTCGCGCTTCCGGTTCCAGTCCATCTGTGGCGCCCGCTTGTTGACTCGGGTGGCTCTCGCTTTCTCCTTGGCTTCGGCCGCCGTGGGGCTCAGGTGGAGGCCGCTCTCCTGAAAGGGGTCACGCTTCCAGGTGTTGCTGTCCTGGGGGCAGGCAGAGTGGGCAGGTGGCCAGCGTGAGCCTGGGAGGCAGCTCTCCGCAGAGGCCGGCTGGTGGGACTGGGGCAGCAGTCCCGGGGCTTCCTGGAGGCGGTGACCCCACTGCCCAGGCTGCCAGCCGCACAAACACCCACCCCGGCCTCTTCCCACCCTCCCCCATGTGTGGGCACCGCAGTGAGGCGGGTGGGCACTCACTACCTCAGTGTCCTTGTCTAAGCCAGGCAGATCACTTCGGGACGAACACGCTGAGCCACCGTTCAGCTAGGAAAGCAAGGACACGGTGTGGCTGCAGGGCCTGTGCCCGGGAGCCGCCGGTGCCCACGCAGATGCGCTCGTGCACACACATCAGAGCCGCATTCATTCTTCTGTCTGGCAGTAGGCACCAAGCCTGGACAGGAGCCGCGGGTGCTGCCGAGGGTGGGGAGCCTGCCCCCGGCCTGCTCACTACGGAATCACCCCCATGAGCATCACCTGGGGTGAAGCGGAGGCCGCCTCCCGAGGAGTGACGCAGCATGACTGCAGCTTACCCGCCAGCAGCCTCGTGGGGTGGGGGCGGGGCTGACCCAGGCAGGAGCAGGACCCGGAGTGGCTGGCAGGATTGGGTCTCACTGTCACACCCACACAGGGAGATCTTGAGGTGGGGGCATGGGCAGGTCTGGGGATCCCTAGAGGGGCCCCAACAGGCTCCTGAGTCCACCCTGTCCATTCCCACCCTCTCACCTGGACAGGGCTGGTCCCATTGGTGACTGGTGATGGCAGTGGACCTGTGGGGACAGCGTGTCGGTGGCTGGCCAGCCCCCCATGCCACCCCGTCCCCAGCCCCAGGCAGCAGCCCACCTTCCACGTGCTCCTCAGTAGGTGTGACCCGTAGCCGCTTGAAGTGCTCATCCGTTTCGGGGTCCACCACCAGCAGCCGGGCCTCATCCTCCTGCGCCTTGATGCTGGCGACCACCTCCGCGTGGCGCAGCCCCTCCACATTCTGCCCATTCACCTGCCAGCAGCAGCGTGAGGTCAACCCGGCCCAAGGTCAGGCCCCCACGGGCCCCTCGAGCCACCCAGCCAGGCGTGGCATCAAATATTCATCAATGTTGTCACCAGCCGTGGCAGGAAGAGGAATGCCAGCTCAAGTTCCCAGCATCTCTCCCCAGCAAGGACCTCGCTGCCCAGACACACCCAGGGCACACGGGCCAGACACACACATGGAGGGACACGGGCCCAGACACACACCCGGGGCACACGGGCCAGACACACACATGGAGGGACACGGGCCAGACACACATCCGGGGCACACGAGCCCAGACACACACCCCAGGGGCACACGGGCCAGACACACACATGGAGGGACATGGGCCCAGACACACACCTGGGGCACACGAGCCCAGACACACACCCCAGGGCACATAGGCCAGACACACAACACACATGGAGCGACACGGGCCAGACACACACCTCAGGGGCACACAGGCCAGACACACACATGGAGGGACACGGGCCAGACACACATCCGGGGCACACGAGCCCAGACACACACCCCGGGGGCACACGGGCCAGACACACACATGGAGGGACACGGGCCCAGACACACACCTGGGGCACATAGGCCAGACACACAACACACATGGAGCAACACGGGCCAGACACACACCTCAGGGGCACACGGGCCAGACACACACATGGAGGGACACGGGCCCAGACACACACCTGGGGCACACGAGCCAGACACACACCCAGGGGCACCCGAGCCAGACACACACATGGAGGGACACGGGCCCAGACACACACATGGAGGGACACAGACCCAGACACACACCCGGGGGCACACGGGCCACACACCCCAGGGCACATGGGCCAGACACACACATGGAGGGACACAGACCCAGACACACACCCGGGGCGACACGGGTCCAGACACATACCCCAGGGTACACAAGCCAGACACACACATGGAGGGACACGGCCCAGACACACAGCCGGGGCAACACGGGTCCAGACACACACCTCAGGGCACAAAGGCCAGACACACACCCCAGGGGCACACAAGCCAGATACACACATGGAGGGACATGGGCCCAGACACACACATGGAGGGACACAGACCCAGACATACACCCCGGGGGCACACGAGCCAGACACACACATGGAGGGACACGGCCCCAGACACACACACCTCGCATGGGGCCCCCAGCACCCCAAAGCCTCCACAACAGGTACCTCGATGAGTCTGTCCTGGGCGCGGAGGCCAGAGTGAGCGGCAGGCGAGCCTGGGTCCACGGAGCGGATGTACTGTCCCGGCCGGGACTTGTCACTGTGCAGGTTGAACCCGTAACCTTGGGGGCCCTTTCTCAGATGGCAGAGCCGAGGGCGTAGCTCCCTAGGGGGCCCACCGACATCCTGCAGGCGCATGAGACCAGGCTCAGCACTGATCTCCAGCCCCCAGGCCTCCCCCACCCCGCCCCCCATCTGCAGCTGCAGTGGACACAAGCCAAAGAGAACCCTAATTCCAGGCTCAACATCCCCCCCCCGCCAGGCAGTCCCAGCTCACAGGACAACCCTCTGTACCCGTGCCTGGGTGACCGCCTTGGGCCGCCTGTGCCCGAGCTCCAGCTGCAGGTTCTGGAGCAAAGCCTCACTCTCCAAACCCAAAACCAACTTGAGGTGGGACCAGGGGCTTGACAGGGGTGCTGACAGGAACCGCTCAAGGGCAGCGCTGAGCACAGGCCGGGGTCCTAGGGGCAGCCAGGCGTCCTGGGCCCGCTGGCCCTGCGGGGGCAACCCTCACCACCTCCCTCCCCCGAGTGTGAGGCTGGAGTGTGAGGCTGACGTTTGTTTTTTCTCCCAGTGGCCTCCATAGGGCTGGTGGCAGCGGGCTGTGTTTGCTTTCACATTCCAGAGCAAGCTGGAGCCACCCCCACCCGCACAGGGCCCAGCAGCGGGGCGCACAGGCTGGAGCAGGGCCGGAGCCCAGCGAGGAGGCCACGGGTGTGCCCTGCCTCCACCCTCCCTGCCAGAGCACAGAGGCCCCCGACGCCCCAAGCGTCCCCCCATCCACAGGCCAGGGCCTCGCCTCGCTTTACCTCTGGCATCCTGCAGCGGGGCTCTGGGGCAGGGGCCGGCGGGCAGGGGCCAGGCCCCGAGCCCCCTCCCAGCCGCAACCCGGGCAGTGAGCAGAGCGCCCAGCAGCCGCGGAGCGGGTGCTCAGTTACACGGGGCGGTGGCCGGAGGCGGGCGGCGGCGGCTCAGGTTGCCCGGGCTGCTGGGGACGTGGGGGCGCGTGCAGGTGAGCGTGTAAGGCGTGGGGGTGCTCCTGAGGCCCTCCCTCCCCCCGTCCACCTCGCCCTCGCCCTCGCCCTCAGGGAAGGTCTGCGGCACCTGCCCCTCAGCTCCTCAGCTCGGGACACCCCCTGGCCGCTCCCAGCCGCCCCCCCCAAGCTCCGTCCACACCCCCAATCTGACCACGAGGGCCCTGGCCTGCTAGCCGGCCCGGCCGGGGACCCAAGCACATCTTTTCTTGCAGGGCCTCCCACTGTCCAGAATGCCCCTCCTCTGGGGTCCCTTCCCTGACCCCCGAAGCCACACAGACACGCCCTTGGGATCCCCGCCACAGGCCCCCACCCAGCCCCGTAAGCCCAGGAACTCAGGGGACAGGGCTCCTGCCCCTCAGTGTCCCCGGGTTTCGGCAACATGGGCTGAACGGATGGGTGTGAGACCCCCAAAGTTCTCCCCCCACCCCATAGAGACTCATCCCCTCTCCCTGACACTGCTGGGGGCCCAGGCTTGGGGCCCCGCTCCCCGCCCCGAGGTGCCTCTCGGATACAGGCTGCCAGAGCAGGGATGGGCGGACAAGCCCGGGTCGGCAGAGGTGCGTGGGCACAGACACCAGACTCCAAACGTACGCTCACAAACACGCTACACGGCAACACGCGGAGACACACGTGTTGGAGAGGACAGCGCCCTGGCGCTGAGCTGTCCAGACTCTTCTCACGCCCTCCACAATGACCTCTTAGGCATGTCTCTCAAGGCCCCCAAACAGGAAGCAGGACTGTGGGAGTATCCGGGGAGGCCGTGAGGCCAGGCTGAAGTCACATCCGGGTTTGGGACCATCCTGGCCATCCCCCTGCCTCAACCCAGTCCGGCCGTGGCTCAGCACAGCGGCCAGGAGGCTTCTCTGCTGAAAATTCCTCTCTTGCTGATCAGCATCCAAGGAGCACCGTCCCTGGCACCAGATGCTCACCTCGAGAGGCTAAGACGTGGGGGGGGGGGGGGGGGGCCAGGCAGCGTGGAGAGGCCCAGAGCAGCAGTGGGTCAGGAGGGGGGGCACACAGTCCCAGTGCATTGCTCACATTCCTCGCTCCCTGCTCTGGCTCAGAGCACTTCCTGCCGCCTCCCAGCCAGGCCCTCGGGCTCCCAGCGGGGCAGCCCAGAGCTGGACAAGCCCTGGTCTCACAGCTGAACCCTTGACCAGACAAAGAAGCTGGCATGGGGGTACCCGGGGAGCCGGGCTGTGCCCCCCCAGATGGTGACTCACCAGCCCTGGCAGAGAAAGGCCCCCATTGTTGCTCAGGGTCCAGCCTGCTTTCAACAGGGTCACTGGGGTGTCCCAAATCCCCTCTCCTGACCCTGGAGACATGGGCTAAGCCAGCTGCTGGGGTCCTCATTGCCCACACTGCCCCCACCCAGCCTGACCTGCACAAGTGCCCAGGATGGTCTCTGTGGAGGGGCTCCTGGGGCCGGGGCCGGCGTTGTGGCATCCCCAGAGCGGGCCATGGGACACACGAAAGAAGTGGCAGGCAAGGAGCGTCCAGCTGGAGTGGCCTTAAGTCTCCGGCCAGCCCTGGCCACGGCCCCATTTATCTACCTCCCACTGTGGCCCCGGCTCCCCAGGGATGGGTGGGGACGGGGGGGGGGCTGAGTCACTTTGGGGAGCAGGGTGGTGGCTGAGTCCCCCTCCCCTGCTCAGACCCCGACTAGGCACCCCCTACTGGCTAGGTTTCAGTCCCAAGAAAGGAAGGAAGGAAGCTGCTGGAAGGCCCTGCCCTGCTCCCAGGACCTGGGGCTGGGGAGACAGAGAGGCGAGGGAGGGGCATGGGAGGGGACCCCGGGGCCAGAACACAAGACAGTCCTGCTGGGGCTCCCAGAGCCCTTGGGCAGCTATAGGCCCATATTCCAGGTGGTCACCCCTGCAGGACTCTCACTCACTCCCTCATCAGGCCCCACAGGCCTCTAGGACGGGGGTGGGGGCCCAGGGTCTGGCACCACTTCGCGGCCCTGGCGTGGCAAGCTGCCCCATCTGCTTAGGGGCTGTCCCCTACCGTCACTGTCAGGACCAGCTGCATTGCAGCTGCAGCCTCCCCAGCCTGGTCTGGCCTGGGGCTGAGTCACCACTGACGAGGACCCTACAGCACCTCGAGGGGAGGGGGCCGGCATATCAGCTGTGTCCCCAGCCCCACCTCCCACATCCCAGCTGGGACAGAGGAGAATGAGCCCAGAGGACACATGGGCTCTGACTCCCGGCTTGGCCCTTACTTCCCACGGGTCCCTGCATCCCACACCGAAGCAAACCCCGTGCCCCCCACCTGGTGGTCCCGCCACTGCAGCTCTGCTAGAGCATGGCTCCCCTGCAGGCACCACCCTCCCAGGCACCCCAATGGCCAGTCCCTTCTGTGGAGCTCGGCTGAGGCCTGGCTCTTCCTTTTGACCCTCTGAGCCCAGCCAACGGGACACGGGGTCCCCAGCCAGGAGGGAGGGGGTAGATCCCGTCCCCTGGGCCTCCCCAGACCTTCTGGAGTCCCTGTCCCCAGGTCAGCCCCTACCACAGAGCCCCTGCCAGTCGGGCCCCACTTTGTTCCTCTAAAAATACGCCCAGAGGAAGCCCCCTCCTAAGGCTTCCTGCGGCTCCCAGAGCCTGAAATAGCAGAGGGGGAAGGTCCCACCCCAGGACAAGGTGCCTGAGCACCCCACCCTCCAGATAAGCCCCGAGGGTGGATTTTTCCACAGGAAGGTGAACTCAGCGTTTGTGTCTAAATCAATGGACAAAAAGCCTAGAGGGGAAGGGCACTTCCTCCACGAGCTAAGACGCCTGCGAAGGAGCAGGGCTCTACGCGGCCGGAGCCCGAGCCCAGCACCACCTTGGAGCCACACAGCTGACCCGATGCTCCCCACTCAGGCCCTGGCCACCCCAAGGGGCTTTCAGGCCCAGAGAACGTGTCCTGAGGGTTCATGCCCAGGCCAGCGCCCAGGATGCCATCCCACCTGAAATACCACCTGGCCCCAAGGCAGTCCCCAGACGCGCACACTCCCAGGCTTCAGCTCTCACGCTGGCACTGGCGTTGGGCCAGTGGTTCTGAGGGGGATCCGGGGAAACCCCTGGGATGGAATCCTTCAAAGAGAGGCTTCAAGAGGACCGAACAACCGGGCACCCGGGGGGCTTGGTTGAGTGCCCGACTCTCGGTTTCAATTCAGGTCACGATCTGGTGGGTAGTGAAACCGAGCCCCACACCAAGCCTCCCCACAACGAACCCCAAGTCAGGCTCCACGCCCAGAGAGGAGTCTGCTTGGGGACTGTCTCCCTCTGCCCCTCCCAGTGCTTGGGCACGTTCTCTCTTTCTCTCTCTAAGTAAATCTTTAAAAAAAGAGGGTGCAGAACAAGCTCTTCCTGTTGGCCTCCCCCAAGTACGAAGTCCTGCTACCCAGAAGTGGGTAGAGTAGCGCACACACACATACACACACTCACACACATTTATTCCAGCTCTCCGGCCTGGGGTGGACGCAGGAAGGGAGAAGTACCCCAAGCTGAGGACCCAGCTGAGTGTCCCGGCCACCCCCCACCACGCGCTGCGCACAGCGAGGGACCAGCCCTATCTCCCAAGGACAAGCAGGCTCCTCAGACAGACCGACACCTGCCCCTGCACAATCCGTCCCGGGAGGTCCCAGCAGACCCCTCCCACTTCCCTCAGCCCCAGTAGGCCTCCTCCAAGTGCCTTCTCCTAGGCCAAGCGCCCTCTCCTAGGCCCAGCAGCTCTCACGGGCTTTCTGGGGAGAAGGGAGGGGGATGGGGCCAGGACCAGAGCCGGGCTGCCCTGAGTCCACCTGGCTTAGAACACCAGCTGAGGGCCGGAAGAGTGGCCAAGTAGCCAAGAGAGTAGTCGCCAGAGGCCCTGTGAGGCAGAAGAGATGGAGACAGAGACTTCTGGAGGTGACCAGAGCAGGAGACTGCCTGCCCCCAAGAGGCGGGCACGGAAGTTCCGGGAGAAGCCAGGGTGTCCCTCTGCGCAGCCTGCCGTACCTTCTGGCCTGCCTCAGAGCTGAGGTTGCTTGCACGTGCCCAGTCCGGCTTTGGCTCCCAGGGGTTGTGGGTGGGCGGAAGCCCTCGCTGGGCCATCTCCTCTGTGCAGGTCAGCTGCCGCCGGCGGAGCTCCTCGTCCGTCTCTTTGTCCACCACCAGCAGCCGAGTCTGGCCTTCCATAGCCTTGATTCTCTGCACCACCTGGGCCGGGCAGGTGGGGAAGGGGGCAGGTCAGCCGTCAGCACTCGGGGCAGCACATGGACAGTGGCACTGCCCAGGCCTGGCCCAGGATCGCGGGCAGGCGGTTGGCCTACCAGGGGTGGGCGGCTGGACCGAGAGGCCCGCAGGCCCCGCCCTCCACCCCCAGGGCTGTGGCCGCTCCCTCCCTCTTCACCCAGGGCTCCTGACACAGGGCGGCAAGGGCTACAGGGTCACTGCAGGAACTGGCCTCAGTCCAGGGTCTTGTCCGGGAGGGGCCGGGAGGCTGGGGGAGGCAGCTGGTCTGGAAGATGGTGTGCGGCCAAGCCTCGGGTTCTCAGCGTGTGAGCGTGTGTGCACATGTGCATGTGCGTGCGCACGGCCGTGTGTGTTGCGTGCAGCCATCTGTGTCGGGGTCTGTGTCTCAGTCTGGGTGAGGGAGCGAGGGGTCTCTCTAGTCCCAGTCTGGGTGTGGCTGTGCTCCCTGCTGTTCTTCTCCGTCATCAAGTGTGGATGTCTAAACCCCTGCCTCCGGGTCTCCCGTTTGCCTCTAGACCACGAACACCTGTGCCCGGTTCCTGTGGCGCGGCACCTGCTCAGGCACCACACGCGACCTGGTGAGCAGGGTCCAGACTGGCAAGGGGAGGCCACCTGTGGGACAAGTGTGGCCTTGGGGTCATCTGCCTGTCTGTGCCGGGTCTGTGAAGTCTCTAGAGCACATGGGTGACCATGGAGCACGCATGTCAGGGTGCACCCTGCAGGGAGGAGCAGCCGTGCCCACTGGGCATTGGGGTAGGAAGGACAAGACCCCCGCCCCCACCACGTCTTGGGGGAGGGTGGAGAGGGCCCCCATCAGCCGCTCGGCAGAAGCTGTCAACAGATAGGAGAGTGAGAACCAGGCTGTCCTCCCCGTGGCCCTCCCCTGCCCCCCCCTTGGTGAGAGCCAAGGAGCACCCCAGCTCCCTGCTGCTTCCTGGCTGTGGGACCCAGGCTAGACACCTGATATCTGAAAGTATGAGTTTCCTTATCTGTAAAATGGGAGCTGGAACTCCTGGACTAGGAGGCAAAGGTGCCAGCGCCCACCTCCTCCCTCCTGAGACAGTGGGGCTCTGTGTGTTAAACCAGCACCCGGGGTCCTGGGAGAAACAGGTGCTCCCGGGGTAAGGGTGGCTGTGACCATTAAACTAAGGCCAGGTGCCACTCTGCCAGCCCCTCCCTGTGGTCAGTCAGGCCAACACCTCTGGCCCACACTCCACCCTCCTTCAGCAAACAGCTTTTTCCAGTTGACACTCTAGGTGGAAGACAGAAGGAAGGCGGACAGATGGATAGACAGGGGCCACAGGGGTGGAAGCAGGAGGGCAGCTGCCGGTCCAGCCAAGAAGCTGGTTTATGGGTCTCTAGGTCCCAGGGCTGGCCACGCAGACAGGCCACAGGCTCACGGGGGCTGGGGAGGACACAGAGATCCCTGAGCAGAAGGGGAGGCTGGACTCAAGCCACTGGGAGATAGACAGTCCCCAGGGAGCAGAACCTGCAGCGCAGACCCCGCCCTCCCTCTGCAAGGGGCAGGGGACCGTGGCATTGGCCCCTGCAGGGCCAGGCAGCCTCCAAGGGGAGCAATGTGCTGTCCCCAGCAGCGACTCTGAGACACCCAGCCAGCGTCAGCCAGGTCACACATTAGCACATAGGCCTGCCAACACACATTGGTGACTACACGTAGGCAGGCATGCACACACACACACACACACCCAGGCATGCAGACCTGTATATTCACACACACACACACACGCACACGCACACACAGTCCGGCACACATACAGAGCCTCGCTCACACGCACCCATCCCCGCATGCAGATCTGTCCACACATGTGCACACACCCAGGGGTGCGGACCTGTATATTCACATGCACAGTCCAGCCCCTGCACACATGAGCACGCACACGCATTCCTTGACACGGGCACCTACAGGTGTGCCCTTACCGTGACGCTCCTCAGGGACACGGCAGATGCGTGCAGGCGAAGGGGACCCCCAGGGGGACTTTACACACCCGTACCCAGCTGGGGACACAAGCACGTGTGTACGCTCAGGGAAAGCACCCAGGGCCGCCAAGGCACGGAGACACACACACACACACACACACACACACACACGCCCAAGGCTCCTGCCGCCTCTGCTCCGCGCACACGGAGGCCTGGGCAGGACTGAGTGCCAGGGCCCAGCCAGGAGCCGCAGTGCGGGCCCTCCCGCCGGGCTGCCCTGCGCTGCGGAGCCAGCCGCCCGGGTGGAGGCGACGGAGATGGCCGGGCCGCCGCCCCCCGCGCAGCCCCCGTCGGCCCCGAGGAGCCCCGCGCCCCCGCCGCGCGCCGAGGCCCGCGCGCAGGGGCCGCCCCGGGAGGGCACCCACCTGGTGGTGCGTCTCGCCCTCCACGTTGACGCCGTTGACCTCGACCAGCCGGTCCCCCGCGCGCAGCGCAGCCGCCTCGGCCGGCGAGCCGGGCTCCACGCGCCGGATGAACTGGCCGCGGCGGCCCTTCTCGCCGTGCAGGTGGAAGCCGTAGCCGTGCTCCCCGCGCACCAGGCGGCACAGGCGCGGCCGCAGCGGCTCCGGGGCGGCCATGGCGCCGGCGGCCCCCCGGCCCACCGCGGACCGGCCACGGCGCCCACGCCCGCGGGGCAGGCACGGGGCGCGGGGGGCGGCGCGGAGGACCCGGCGGCGACCTCGGCTGCTCCCGCTCGGCTCCCGTCGCCTCGGGCTCGGGCTCGGGCTCGGGCTCGGGCTCGGCTGCGGCGCCGCCTCCGCGCCGCCCCTTCCCCGCCTCCTCCGCGGGGCCGCCCCCGCCCCGAGGCCCGGCGCGCCCTGCCCTGCCCTCCGAGGCGCCCCGCCAAGCCCGGGGGCGGGGGGAGGGTGGCGCGGGGCCCAGGGACCCCTCTGCCCCGCCCTGCTCCGGGCAGCCTCCCCGCGCCGCCGCCTCTGCCTCCTAGTCCACCAACATGTATTGAGCACCTACTGTGTGCGGTCGCGAGGCGGGCTCTCGCAGGGGCCGGAGGGAAGGAAAAAATGTCACAGCTCTGCCCAGCACCCTTGGGAACACGCCCTCCCCCCACCACGCAGTCCCCCTATCTGGATCCCTCCTGCACTCAGAGCGGTCCTGGCCCCACACAGTCCCAGGATGGTCCACGAGGCAAAAAGGGGAGTTTGGGAGTTACAAGGTAGCACCCCCGTATTCTAGGGGACTCCGCGGCTCTTCCCGGGAGACCGATGGTGCCTATCCGTGCCCGGGTTTATTAAACACAACCCCTCCCCGCCCCCACACGCACACCTCTCTGTGCCAGGGCCCCTCACCTGTGCCCCTGCTCATCCCAGAGGTGAAATGTACCCAGGACTTTGGCCTCTGCCCTCTGGCTTGTGATCAATGCTCACAGAAGCTGTTCCCAAGAGCTGGGGTGGGGGTGGGGGTGATCCCCCTCTGCCCCTCCCTCCATCCTTCTCCTCCCCTAGCATCTAGCCATGCCCAGCATGAGTCCCCCTTCCCCCAACCCGACAAGAATGGCAGGAGAAAATCTGGTTAAACTCCGTTGTGCCTCTGAGTGCACTTTCTCCAGAACATCCCTAGAGTGCTCAGGCCATTTTGCAGATCAAGAAACTGAGCTCTAGGGAGATCCCTGGGTGGCTCCGGGGTTGAGCGCCTGCTTTCAGCTCAGGGCGTGATCCTGGAGACCCAGGATCCAGTCCCACGTAGGGCTCCCTGCATGGAGCCTGCTTCTCCCTCTGCCTGTGTCTCTGCCTCTCTCTCTCTCTGTGTGTCTCTCATGAATGAATAAATAAAATCTTTAAAAAAAAGAAAGCAAAAAACTGAGCTCTAGAGAGTCAAGGTTCCCCAGTTCCTCATAGACGCCTCTGTGAGATTCCAAGTCCACAGTTTATTTACCATGGGGCTCTTTCTCAGCCTCAGATACGGGAAGACAGCTGACCTGTGGTCTCCCCCTCAGCCTGCCCAGCCCTATGGGGGCAGAACCAGGCTCAGCTCAGGTCCCTTCCTTGCTGCTCCTTCTCTCCTCTCCAGTGCCCTCAGTCTGGGCGCCCAGCCCCCGCCGAAGCACTGGGCTCTCCTCTGGGCAGCCTCCTGGGCCCCAGCCCCTTGGGTATCCACACCCTGGCTGCTGCCCCTAAAAGCCACTTAGGCCAAGGCTGTATGGCTGCTTCCCCACCGCTACCTTTACGTTCCTGGCTGAGGCTGCCATAGGCTCCTGCCTAGCTGGCCGCCTCTGTCTGTTTGTCTGTCCAGAGGCTGCCTGTCTGGCCTGTGACTGCCTCTCTGGACCCAAGCTGGTGCCGCTGATCCTGGAAGCTGTAAGGATGGGTGTGGCAGTGCAGTCTAACATATACCCTACATGGAGCTTCCAGGTTACCCCATAGCAACCAAGACCAGCCAGGCCCTGCCAGGATGAGGGAGTCCAGGGAGGTAGCTGATGGGAGACCCGCAGGCTGGGAATAGAGAAGCTAGGAACCCCCTGCCCAGGAGACCCCCAGGCTGGGGGTAGAGAAGCTAGGAGCCCCTGGTCCTCCAGGTCAGGAGCCTTGGAGATTCCACCCCCCTCCTCCATAGGACAGGCACTCCCAAGATCAGCCTCAGCCAGTCTGTGAAGACCGATGTGAGCAGAACAAGGCTGGAGGGAGGGGTAACCGGGGGCATGTGGTCATAGCCAGGGGCCAGGAACAGGGGCATCAGAGCACAGATGCCCCAAAGTGAAAAAGGAGCTGAAGAAGTACCATAGAAGGTAACAGAGTAACACAGGCAGCCTGAGACAGTGAAAAGGGGGGTGGGCGACAGCCACAGAATCAGGCAGCTGGGGAGAGGAGCAAGTACATTCCCAAGGGCGAGCGAATGGAATGGGTGAGAGGGAACTGGGTCAGTGTGGAGGAGCAGAGGCCGGGGAAGCTAACCCAGTGGCTCTCCTGCACAAACTCCCAGGCCCTTCCTGCAGCCTCGGGCTGAGATCCGAGTGAGAGGCAGAGAAACAGGCAGAGGGAACAGAATGGACCAGGGCCCAAAAGAGCAGACGGGAAGGTGCTCAGGGGCTGTAAGTCGTTTGGGGCGGCAGGGCAAAGGGCCCCGAGGAGGTGATCAGCGAGGCCAGGTGGCAGGTGACCCCCCCCCCCAACCCACCCCCTATGCCTTAGCCGGGCTCCTGCCACCTTGCGACACAGGGGAAGTAGACCTTTCCAGGCTTCCCTCTCCTGGGCTGTCAGAGGGTCCACCTGGGGTGGGAGGCCCGGTGCTCCCTTGGCGGAAGGGGCCCTTCCTCTGAGCTGGGACCCCACCGAGCTGCAGCGCCCCGGCCATGGGCGGAGCCTGGCGGAGGCGAGGACTCCGGGTGCAGCAGTGGGGCGGAGGCCTGCTCTCCGGCCCCGGGAAGGGTTGGGGCCCGTCTGTGGGGTGGAGCCATGAGCTCGACACCCGGGTAATGGCCCGGAGCTTCCCGGGCCGGCGCCACCTCCCTAATGGGCATTAATTGCCCCACGGGATGACGGGGTCTCGCTTATGGCCTCCTCCGTCAGACTACACCAGGCCTCTCCTCAGAGCCCGAAAGTGGGGCAGGCAGGACCAGCGCGACGCAAACACAGCACGACGCCAGGAGCCAAGAGGCAGAGAGAAGCGGAGCGGACCACCGAGGGAGGCGGTGCAGGAACCCGCCCGCCCGCGCCGGCCCCGCCCGCTCCAGGCCGCGGGCGGCGAGGGGGGTGCAGCCCCAGAGAGCAGCCGCGCGGTGCCGCCTGCCGGTTCTCAGTGGAATTGCTTCGTCCGGGAGGCTGGCCCAGACCCCGCAGCTCTGGCGCCAACTCGGGTGGGGACTGGGGTGAGGCCGGCGCCCTAGGGCTGCCTGCACTGCAGGGGCACAGGGGTTCCGTCAAGCTGGTAGGCAGAGAAGCCGAGCCTCTGCCAAGTCCCTTGTCGTCCCTGCTCTTTCCTTGGACCTGGCACCCACCTCCCTGGACTGGGGTACCACCAGGCCACGTGAAATCTAGCACCTCACCAAATGCTCCAGTGCTGGTGACCAAACATATGCCGACCACTTAGCACCCGGCGCTGGTGAGCACTGGGGAAATATCGCTCAAATCCCTGGAAACAGGGATTGGTATGCTTTGGTAAGGGCAGGCCCAGAGCTGGCATGGCCCCGAGGAGGGCATTTCACACGGCCTGGAGTCCTTCTGGGTGGACCATGGGGCTGTTCTGGAATCTGCCCAGAGTTCCTGCAGTCTGTGTGGGGAAGGGCAAGGAGCAATGAGGCTGGGGGGCAGGGCAGCCCTGTGGCCCACCCCAGAGCATGGATTTTGTGCCATTCGTGGTGGAGAGTCCTTGAGGTGTTGTGCACTGGAAGTGAGGCCGGGGCACCCATGGTTTGAAAGGCCAAGTTTGGCGGGAAGCAGAAACAGGAATGGACTTGGAATGCAGAGAATGGAATGAGTAACCTGTGGCCACCTGTTCCCTCAGTGCAGAGCCTGGAATCAGAGTCAGTAAATCCAGGGGTCAGTCCGTAAGTATTGGGAGGGCGGAGCAAAAAAGAGCGCCCACATTAGGGGAGAACATAGGGAGAAGAATGCCCCCAGGAGTCGAGCAGGAATTGCTAGTAAGAGAAATGGGGCTTCTTCCAGAGGCCAAGGAGAACGTGGGGGCTGGTTCCATGTGGGTATCTGGAAGCTAGCCAGCTCAACAGGCCCGGGGCCACCCCTCCTCCAGTCCTTGCTGGGTGCCCTCAGGGAAGACCTTGCCACATGGCCAAGGGAGGGCCCCAAGGAGTCAGAGCCCATGCTGAAGAGGGTCGACCAGGAAGCAGAAGGGTGGAGGGCCCCAGACTCTGTAAGGGGGCCACGTGGAGAGAGGTGCTTATTCACCCCCGGCAGAGCATATTTACATGGGGGGGGGGCGGTGGAGCCAATAACAAAAAATGCAGAGGTGTTGGGAAGTGGAAGGTTCTCTGAGGAGGCACAGAGCCCTTCCTCCCTAGGAGGAGAGCATGACTTTGAAGAAGGCAGCTTGGGATTCTCACTTCCTCTCCAGAAGCCACAGGCTGAGGGGAAACAGGGATGCAAAGGAGATGGGGTTTGAAATGAATACTGGGAGATGGGGGAAAGACTGGATGGGCTGCTGGGTCTTAAGGTCCCCAGCATGGTGAGGGGGCTTTGGCTCAGCTGGTAGGGCATGAGTGCCTGCCTTCTTTCTGGTGGGTGGCAGTGGGACTCAGGGTCTGACTCGCGCCGACCTCGGGTTAGACCTCTCCTGTCCTGTGATCCCCTGGGCCCTGGTCTGATGACCCTGCCCCCACACAGGAGGGGCAACACTGGCGGAGAAGGAGGAAGGGGACCTGCGCCCCAGCAGTGTCTCAGCCTCTGTCCCCACCTTCGGCCACCCCACAAGCTCTTACAGATGGAAATGATTAGGAGGGGGCATCCCCTTGGCGGGGAGAAGGTCCTGGTGCTTGCCAGCGCCTGAGTGCAGCTGCTTGCCCCCTAAAGCTAGGTGCCAAGTGCGCGTCGGAGCGGAAGGGCGGCACACACGCGAGTGCATGAATCAGGCAGCTTTTATTGACCAGCCAGCCAGGCGGGAGCTGAGAGCCCAGGAGGAAGAGACTCCGCCTGGGTCAGAGCAGGGGCAGCGCCAGCAGGGGCTGTGCTCAGGATGGCTCTGGGGAGCGGTGGGGGCCCGCGAAGGCAGTTGGCTCCGCAGACC